GGTGAGGGGGATGTGGGGCAGAGCGCTGTGGGGCAGGGGGATGTGGGAGCCAAGAATCTTCTCAAGGCTTCTCCTCCAAGGTCTTCGCTGGCCCCTCCTCACCTCATTGCCCACCAGCACTTCCAGGACCTTCTCAATGACGCTCATTCCAAGGACAACGTTGCCTCCTGCTCACCTTGGTGCCAACCAGAACTTCCAGAACCTTCTCAACAAGCTGTTCCAATATCATCGTGGCTCCTCCTCACCTCAATTGCCCACCAGGACCTCCAGGATTTCTCAACAATGCTGTTCCAAGGACTAATGCTTCCTCCTTGTCACCTTGGTGCCCACCAGCACTTCCAGGACCTTCTCAACGACTCTGCTTCCAAGGTCATCGTTGGCTCCTGCTCACCACAGTGCCCACGGGATTTATGGGGCTGGGAACAATTTGGGAAGACTCGGCCAGAACTCATCATGGGGAGACCCAACCATGTCTGGAAATGCTCCGTGGAGACCCAACCATGCCCTCAAAACTGGTCTCAGAAGACCCAAACTGTGTCTGGAAATGCTCTTGAAGACCCCAACTTGGTGGCTGGAAATGCTCTTTGAACGCCCAGCCATGGCTGGAGGCAATCTGTAGGATCCTGGTGGAGCCAGAAGCGGCCCAGCAGTGACTGGAAATGGGCTTGGCAGGAGCCGGGCGCCTTATTTATTTGCTCAGCGAGAAGGAAGAAAACCTCTGTTTGCAGATCCTGGCAGTGGGTGATGGGACTCCCGGCCAGCCCTTGGCCATCCCACTTAGGGATGGGCAATCCCAATAAAAATTCTGTGCATCCCAAAAAAAATTCTGCTTCTGCCTCCGGCCCCATGCCAGCCGTGGTCACAGGGACATTGTGGCCGTGGTGGGAACCACGGCCCCCTCGGGGCTGCAGCTGCTGGGGTCCATCTAGGTCCTTCTAGGGGGGTCTCCACCAGTGCCGTGGGCTACCAGGACCCGCAAATCCCCAGCTCCCGGTCCCAAATTTGGGTCAGATTCATCCCAAATCCCCCCAGCCCTACAGGTCCTAGAAGGTCCCTGGGCACCAACAAAGTCTCATGGGAAAGTGACAGGGACGGGGGATGTTGGGGACGGGGATATAGCAGGTGGAGATGGGGGCACCCAGGATGGGGATGGATACCATAGTTGGGGGCCCCAAAAACTGGATCCAAACAGCCCCCAAAACTGGATCTGGACCCTGAAGACCCCCATGTGGCCCCAAACAGCTCAAAATGCCCCCTGCAGTGGCCCCAAAACACCCTGAAACACCCCCAAAATGCCCATTGTTCTGCCTGTCACCCACAGGTGCCAGCCTGATGGTGACGCCCTGTCCCATGTCACCTTTGTCCCTTGTGCTGGGCAGGGGGGGCAGGGTTGGGGAAGGGGTTAACCCCCCCCCCAAAATACTCCCTGTGAGCCCCCCCCCAGCACTGTGGGGTGCTGTGGACACGGGTTGTGTGGCGGCACCCATGGGGGGGGCACCCTCTGGCAGGGGATGGTGGCACCATCTCCTTGTCCCCACGGTTCCCACGGGGAGGGGTGAAGGAAACGTGCAAGGCTCAAGTGCCAGCATAGTGGGGGGGCCCCCCCTTTTTCCTCACCCTTGCCCTGGGCTAAAATTAGCACTGGTGTCACCTCGGTGTCACCTGTGACACCCTTAGGTGGCATTGACGTCAATGGCTGAGGCGTGGGTGGGGGCAAAGTCCAGGAGGCTCCGAAACTGCCCCATAAAAGCAGGAGGGGGGGGAGTGGGGGGTGAGAAACACTCCTGGTCTCCCTGCGTGGGGGGAGGGACAATGGGACACGAGGTGGGGGTGCCCTGTGTGTGGGGGGGTCCCAAGAACGAGGGGTGGGGGGTCCCGTGGAATATGGGGGGGAGGTCCCGTGTGGGTGCTGTCCTGTGGGAGAGGGTCCCATGAAAACAAGAATGGGGAGGAGGCTATGGGGGGGGGGGTCATGGGTGGGAGGCATATCGTGGGGGTTTTAAGGGGGGGTCCCCACAAGATGTTCCCGTCGTCCCCCCCCCCCCAAATCCACAGGGGGCGTTTTCTGCACTGTAATGTCCAAATGACCCCATATCCCATGTTTTTTTTTTTTTTTTTTTTTTTTTTTTTTTTTTTTTTTTTTTATGGGGAATGCACCACCCCAAAATGCTGAGATTGGGGGGGGGAATTTTTCAGGGATCCCCCCTGCTCCCCTCCCCTACTCCCCCCCCCTTTTCCCCAAGGAATTAACGGCCCCGTGCATGCTGGAGCCATTCCAGTACAAACCAGTAACACCAGTGACTTGATAGTTTTTTTATTTGGAATTGGGGGGGGTCCATCCCTGTGCAGGAGGAGGGGGGGTGTCCTGATCCTTAAAGTGACCTGGGGGGGGACCCCGGAAATGACATCACAGCCCCCAAAGTATGGTCATCACCAGGAGAGCAGGGCCAGGACCAGTTTGTGCTAGCAGAGGTGGGGGCCAAATGAAGTGCTACAGGAAGGGTGGGGGTCATGGCCCTAAAAGGGAGGGTCACGACCCCCCCCAGAAGCAGGGGAGGTATCCCACAGTGCTGTGCGTGTCCTGGGTGGGGGCAGCCTCCTGGTGTCCCCCCCTCCCTGCTCAGAGCTGTGTGGCGATCCTCTCTGGGCTCTGCATTTGGACCTGCAGGGGGGGTATTTTTTGAGGGGGGGTCCCATGGTGAGGCTGTGAGTGGGGATGGGGGTCGTGTTCCCCCCTCCCCCAACATTTCCTTCCACCTGTGAGCCCCCCCCCAGGGGGTGGAGGGAACAACTTGTACCGAGGTGTCCACGGACTTCAGGTCAACCCATATTGTATAATGGGCACCTGTGGAGCAATGGAGCTCCACGGGGGTGCCCGGGGTGGGGGTCGCTCCAACCCATCCCCCCCTTCGTACCTTCATTTTGGATGACGAAGCAACCTGGGCGGGGGTCCAGTCTTCATTCATTTCCTCATACCAGTTCTCCTTGTGCTCCTTCAGGTCGCTGGCACTGGAACAGGATGGGATGCTGTGGGGCTGACACTGGGGGTGGGCAGGAGACACTGGGGGGCCAGGAGGCACCAGGGGGATCCAGGAGACACCAGAGGGGCCAAGCCCCAACCCATTGGGACCACCAGAGGTGTGGCCAAGCAGCACAGATGGGTGCGCTTGAGGACCTCCATGGATGGAGACTCTGCCACTGGAGACTCCATGGGTGGAAGACGTCCATGGGTGGAGGACGTCCATGGGTGTAAGGTCTACTACGGATAGAGGATCTCAACCACTGCCTGGGCTCTCTCATCCACCTACGTCTCTGTCACCCCACCACCTACCCACCCACCAACCCTTCCTCCAGGTTCCCTCTCATGCCCGCCGCCTCCTCCCCACCCATGCTGCAGTATCCCCCCACCTCTCAGATGACTTTGGCCTCTTGGCTATGCAGAGAAGGATGGCGAGGACGAGGATGACCAAGCACAAGACTGCCACAGCCACGCCCAGGCCCACAGTTATCTTGCTGACCCGGCTCTTGCACCGATTATCCAGGTACCAGTAGATGTTGGTCTCACGGCAGCTGTGGGGAAGAGCACGGTGTTTTTTGGTGGGACCAAAACACACCAGCAGGGCCTGTGGACTGGGGGTGGTGTGCTTCATGTCCACCATGGCATCCCCTCATCCCTTACAAGCACTGGGGGCCAGTCGGGGTGAGCTGGCACTGCCCCTCGTTGCAGTCCATGGCACTGGCAGTGTTGGCCGAGCAGTTGGACACGCAGGTGAGGCCGCTTTTGGTGGTGTTGGGGTAGTAGAAGTTCTCAAAGCCACTGGGTGCGATCTGGCGGCAATACGCTGCGGGGGGGACGGGGGTTGGCCGGGGGGAGACACGCATGGCCCCCAGCTCAAGGTCAGCCCTGAGCAGCCCACCCCACGGGCTCACCTGTTGCATTGAACTCGTACGAGGGTTGGGTGATCGTCACTTCGGAGGCGTTGAAGCAGAAGGTGCCTGGGAAGGAGGGAGAGGCTGTGTGGAAGAGCCCCAGGCCTCAGGGGTCCCCAGGGCCCCAACCCTGTCCCCAGAGGCCCTAACTCTGCCCCAGGCCTAGGCCCGAATGGATCCCCAGAGCCTCAGCCATGTCCAGGAGGCCCCAACCCTGTCCAAAGGGCCCCAAGCCTGTCCCCAGAGGCCAAAACCTTGTCCCCAAGGCTTAGGCCCGAATGGTTCCCCAGGGCCCCAACCCTATCCTTGGAAGACTCCAACCATGCCCCCAAGGCCTAGGCCTAAAGGGGTGCCAAGGGCCCCAACCCCATCACAGAGGGCCCCAACCCTATCACAGAGAGCCCTTCCCTGTGCCTGGGGACCCAACCTTGTCACAGAAGGACCCAACCCCATCACGGGGCACACAAACAGTTCATGGAGGACACAGGCCTGTCCATGGAGTTCCCACCCCTGTCCCTGGGGGGCAGAGGCTCACTGTTATCAGTGCAGTCTCCCTGCTGGGTCGCTGCTTGGACGATCTCCTCCTGCACCTTCTTGGTGATGTTACCGATCTTCTCCGTGGTATCGGCGGTCACCAGCACAGCAACGATGACGGTGTGATTCACCACGATGCTGCCCGGTCTGAGGGGACACCCCAATGCCCATTGGTGTAGCCCCAATAGCAGTTGGAGCACCCCAATAACCCCTCATCATTGACCAGCATGAGGCCAGTTGGAGCACCCCAATATCAGTTGGAGCACCTCAGTGGTAATCAAAGCACTCGATGCCCACTGGAGCACCCTGAAACCCTTTCCCAGAGACCAGCAGCCCAACACTCACGACAGACTCAGGATCTTGATGCCCTGGTAGCCTTCAATGTTGCGGTAGACGATTTCCATCTGGAAGAGAAGGAGGCCACAGGCCGGTTATCGGTGTCCCACTCCCTTCCCTTGCAAGTTCCTTCCCCACCTTGGATTCCCCCCAAAGCAAGCACACCCCTAAGAAGGACAGAGAAGACCCCAGGGGGACAAGAACAGCATCCCACCTGCAGGGTGAAGCTGAGGACGAAGCTCTTGTAGACTTCAGAGCTTTCGTTTCGGAGGTCGTCGGTGAACTCCTGGTTGGTGACCCGCAGCTTCACGCTCACCGACACGTTGGTTTCTTTGGGAGAAGGCAGGAGATGGGACTCAGGAGTAGAAGACAAACCCAGCATGACCATGGGCATTGCTGCTGCGCCCTGAAGGCACTAATGAGCCTTAACAGCCCCAACCAGCCTCACCTGAGACCTCCAGCCCCTGCTTATTGATGCAGGGAGGGGCATTTAAGGGCAGGCCCCCAGTCCTTTGGAGGTTTGTGAATGGGGACCTGTTCCAGGACTACTTCTGTCTGCTGCTTGGACCTCAGCTGTGGTTCCCTGCTTCACCCCATGCTTTTCTGTGCACCGTTGGGTGCTGAGGGAGCTTGTGGTGATTGGGGAACTCCTTACTCATATCTTTGGGTGCCCCAGGACAAGGCACTAGTTGGACAACACCTTGCCCACACCTTTGGGTGCTGTAGGACCTTGTGCTTGTTGGGAAACACCTTGCCCACACCTTTGGGTGCTCCATGATAACACCCTGTTTAGTGAACTCAGTGCCAACACCTTTAGGTGCTGTGGGTTCGTGCCCTGCTCAGAGACCATGCCCTCCCCATGAGGAAGCCCCCTCCTGGTTCTCCCCAGAAGATATACCCCCCAAGGGCTGGAGGTGGATGCAGAGGGCTCCCTACCAGCTTTGGTCTCGATGCTGCTCTCGACGGAACCGCAGGTGGTGCCCGTGTATCCCGGGGGACACACGCATTGGCCGTTGACCCAAGTGCCTCCATTTTCACAGACCCCTGGAAAGGACAGTGTGAGGTGGGGCTGGGAGGTGTGGGGTGAGGAACCTGCTCTAGGGGCAGCCAAGGGTGGGAGGGTGTGGTACCTGGGGTGGTGGTGGTGGTTGGGCTTGTGGTTGTGGTGGTGGTTGTGGTGGTGGTGGTGGTAGTGGTTGGCCTCATGGTGGTGGTGGTGTTCGGGCTTGAGGTGGTGTTCGGGCTCGAGGTGGTGTTCGGGCTCAAGGTGGTGTTTGGGCTCAAGGTGGTGTTCGGGCTCAAGGTGGTGGGCGGGCTTGAGGTGATGCTGGTGGTTGGGCTCATGCTGGTGGTGGTCGGGACCATGGTGGTGGAAGTAGTGCTGAGGCTCGTGGTTGTTGCAGCTGATGTGGGTTCCTCAGGGGACGCGTTTACTGCAGTACTCACAGTGCTCGTGATAGTGCCTGTGTACAGCGTGAGCACAGCTCAGCCAAGTCCTCCTTGGCATTATCATCTCTCAGACGTGGGAAAGGACTTCCCTGTTCCCTTCCCTTCCCCCCAGTCCAGGTTCTCGCCTCTCCTCCGGGTCACCCTCTCCCATGAGCTGCCTGCACTTTGCCCCCCTCAGCAGCCCCACCTTGCCTTCCACCTTTCCCTTCGCCCCATCCTTCCTTCCCCGTGTCCTCTCCCCTCCACCTTCTGCCTCTCTTTTTCTTTCGCCCCACACCCTCCTCAGGTCTGTTTGCACACCTGTGGGGCGTGCAAGGTGCGGTGGGGTGAGGACGCACGTGAACACCTCAGGAGCTTCATGTGAGGACAGACCTCTGGGAGGACAAATTCTAGGCCTCCACTCCCCCTTGTCACTGCTGGCACCCCAGGGAAGGGATTTGAGGGGTTTACCCATCCCCGTCCCCAATGTCCTTGTCCCCGTCCTTGTCTCTAGCCCCATCCCCAACATCCCCAATGTCCTTGTCCCCGTCCTTGTCTCTAGCCCCATCCCCAACATCCCCAATGTCCTTGTCCCCGTCCTTGTCTCTAGCCCCATCCCCAACATCCCCAATGTCCCTGTCCCCACTGGGACGGTGCCACCTCGGGCTATGGAGGTCGATTCCCCTCTCAGCCTCCCCAGTGCACCCCGAGGAGATGTCCCAGGGGAGGCCACCCCCTCCTGCCCCCCACATCTGCATTTCAGTGCCCTCCACCTGGTCTCCACTCACCCGCTGCAACCCCGCAGAGGAGGAAGAGGAAGAGGAGGAGGAAGACTCGGGTGCAAGCCCCCATCTTGGTGCCCCCCAACACCCCAGTGCCACCAGCAGCATCCTGGTGCGGAGCCATGCCTGGGGCAGGAGTGGCAGTGGGGAACTTTGCCCCTCTGTGGGGAGGAGCCATGCGTCCCTTCCTGGAGCTTCCCCAGGACAAATAATTAATAACCCCATGCATGCTGGAGCCATCCCAGTACAAACCAGTGACACCAGTGACTTGATAGTTTTTTTATTTGGAATTGGAGGGGGTCCAGCCCTATGCAGGGGGAAGAGGGGGAGTCCTGACCCTTAAAGTGACCTGTGTGTGTGTGGGAGAACACCCTGGAAGTGACATCATGGCCCACCAAGTGAGGTCATCACCAGGAGAACAGGGCCAGGACTGGTATGTGCAGGCAGAGGTTGGGGCCAAATGAAGTGCTATAGGAAGGGTGGGAGTCATGACCATAAAAGTGAGGGCCATGATCCCCAACTTGAGGTCATGATACCTCCCGAAAAGCAAGGGTTATCCCCCAGTGCTGTGTGGCTCCCTGGGGGGAGAGGAGGCAGCCTCCTGGTGTCCCCTCCTCCCTGCTCAGAGCTCCGAGGTGATCCTCTCTGGCCTCTGGATTTGGACCTGGGGGGAATTTTTTAAGGTGGGGGGGGGGGGTCACATGGTGAGTCCATTAGATCGGTGGGGGTGCTACCCCTCATATGTCGCCCCCTTCAGGTGGGTGGGGGGACCTACCTTTGCCAAGGTGTCCACGGACTGCAGGTCAACCCGCATGGTGTCCTCATAGACATCTGTGGGGTGAAGGAGCTCAATGGGGATGCCCCGGGTGGGGGTTCCACTAACCCCCCCATCTCATCATCCCATCGTGGGGGTCAGTGGGTTCCCCCTCCAACCCCATACCATCATTCTGGATGGTGAAGCCCCCAGGGAGTTTCCAGTTCTCATCCTCTTCCTCGTACCACTGCTTCTTGGTCTCTGTCAGGTTGCTGTACCTGGGGGGGCAAAGAGGCTCTGACATCAGGAGTGTGACTGGAGGCAACTGGGGGGTTCATGTAAGCACCGGGGGGGGCAAGTTAAGCTCCATCAGGACCACCAGAGGTGGAGGCAAGCACCACGGATGGGTGCTTGAGGATGTGTTTGAGGACCTCCATGATTGGAGGTCCTTCCCAGATGGAGGACCACCATGGACCAAGGAGGGCCTCTGCTTGTGGAGGTCCTCCCATGCCCACCACCTAACCTTCCCTTCTCCATGGGGATTCCTCACCTGTCCAACGACTTCTGCCTCCTGGACCTGAAGATGAAGGCAGCAAGGCCAAAGATGACCAAGCACAAGACTGCCACGGCCAGGCCCATGCCCACGGCCATCTTGCTGACCCGGCTCTTGCACCGATTATCCTGGTACCAGTAGAGGTTGGTCTCACGGCAGCTGTGGGGAGGAGAAGCGAGGCTGAGTGTGGTGCCGAGACCACTGGTCCTTTGGTGGGGCCAAGAGCCCTCAGCAGGGCCCTGGAGGTGTCCCTGGGGGTGTCCTCATGCTACTTACAAGCACTGGGGGCCACTTGGGGTGAGCTGGCACTGCCCCTCGTTGCAGTCCATGGCACTGGCGGTGTTGGCCGAGCAGTTGGACACGCAGGTGAGGCCGTTTTTGGTGATGTTGGGGTAGTAGAAGTTCTGAAAGTCGTTGGGTGCGATCTGGCGGCAATACGCTGCGGGGGGGACGGGGGTTGGCCGGGGGGAGACACGCATGGCCCCCAGCTCAAGGTCAGCCCTGAGCAGCCCACCCCACGGGCTCACCTGTTGCATTGAACTCGTACGAGGGTTGGGTGATCGTCACTTCGGAGGCGTTGAAGCAGAAGGTGCCTGGGAAGGAGAGGGAGAGGCCGTGTGGAAGAGGCCCAGGCCTTGGGTCTCCAGGGCCCCAACCCTGTCCCCGGAGGTGCCAACTCTGCCCCAGGCCTAGGCCCGAATGGATTCCCAGGGCCTTAACCATGTCCAGGATGCCCCAACACCATCCCCAGGGCCCCAAGCATGTCCCTGAAGGCCACAACCTCTTCCCCAAGGCCAGGCCTGAACGGTTCAGTAGGGCCCCAACCGTGTCCCAGGAATACTCCAACCATGCCACCAAGGCCTAGGTCTGAAGGTGTCCCAAGGGACCCAACACTGTCATGGAGGACTCAACCCCATCATGGAGGACACAACCCTGTCACGGAGGGCCCCAACACCGTCTTGGAGTTCCCACCCCTGTCCCTGGGGGGCAGAGGCTCACTGTTATCAGAGCAGTTTCCCTGCTGGGTCGCTGCTTGGACGATCTCCTCCTGCACATTCTTGGTGACGTTACTGATCTTCTCCACGGTATCAGCGGTCACTGGCACAGCAACGATGACGGTGTGATTCACCACGATGCTGCCCGGTCTGAGGGGACACCCGAATGCCCGTTGGTGTAGCCCCAATAGCAGTTGAAGCACCCCAATAACCCTTCATCATTGACCAGCATGAGGCCAGTTGGAGCACCCCAATACCAGTTGGAACACCCTATGCCCATTGGAGCACCCCAATGGCAGTCCAAGCACCCTGAAACCCTCTTCCAAAGGCCAGCAGCCCAACACTCACGACAGACTCAGGATCTTGATGCCCTGGTAGCCTTCAATGTTGCGGTAGACGATTTCCATCTGGAAGAGAAGGAGGCCACAGGCCGGTTATCGGTGTCCCACTCCCTTCCCTTGCAAGTTCCTTCCCCACCTTGGATTTCTCCCAAAGCAAGCACAACCCTAACAAGGATAGGGAAGACCCCAGGGGGACAAGAACAGCATCCCACCTGCAGGGTGAAGCTGAGGACGAAGCTCTTGTAGACTTCAGAGCTTTCGTTTTGGAGGTCCTTGGTGTACTCCTGGTTGGTGACCCGCAGCTCCACGCTCACCGACACGTTGGTTTCTTTGGGGGAAGGCAGGAGATGAGACTCAGGAGCAGGAGAAGACAACCCCAACACCCTGGGCATTGCTGCTGTGCCCTGCACAGCCTTAACGGCCTTAAAGACCACAAGTGGCCTCACCTGGGACCACCAGCCTCTACTTATTGCTGCAGGGGAGGCATTTAAGGGCAGGCCCCCAGTCCTCTGGAGCTGTGCTGAGGGAGACCTGTTCCTGGACTGCTTGTGTCTGCTGCTTGGACCTCAACAGTGGTTCCCTGCCCTGCCCTTTGCTTCTCCCTGCACCTTTGGGTGCTGTGGGAGCTTGTGGTGGTTGGCAAACTCCTTACCCACACCTTTGGTGCTGTTGGACTTTGTGCTCATTGGCAAACACCTTGCCCACAGCATTGGCTGCCCCAGGGTAACACCCAGGTTGGAGAACTCGCTGCCAGCACCTTTGGGTGCTGTGGACCCATGGCCTAGTTGAGGTCCATACCCGTGGCCATGGTCACTCGTGACTTGCCCTCCCTGTGAGGAAGCCCCACTCCTGGTTCTCCCCAGATTTTTCCCAGATTGGGCTGGAGGTGGATGCAGAGGGCTCCCTACCAGCTTTGGTCTCGATGCTGCTGTCGACGGAACCGCAGTTGGCGCCCGTGTATCCCGGGGGACACACGCATTGGCCGTTGACCCAAGTGCCTCCATTTTCGCATTTCCCTGGAAAGGACAGTGTGAGGTGGGGCTGGGAGGTACGGGGCGAGGAACCTGCCCTGGGTACAGCTAAGGGTGGGAGGGATGGTACCTGGGGTAGTGGTAGTGGAGGTGGTGGTTGGGCTTGTGGTGGTGGTCTTGGTGGTTGTGGTGGTAGTGGTAGTGGTTGAGCGCGTAGTGGTGGTGGTCGGTTTCGTAGTCGTGGTGGTGGTGGTGGTGGTCGGAAGGGTGGTGGTGGTGGTGGCACCAGTGGTCATCATGGTGGTGGTTGTGGGGCTGGTGGTGGCTCCAGAAGTGGTCGTGGGGCTGTTGATGGTCGTGGTGACATCTGTGGGACTGGTGGTGATGCTGGTGGTGGTTGTGGTTGTTGTCACCAAACTCGTGGTTGCTGCACTAGAAGCGGTGGGTGTGGAAGAAACATCTGGAGCAGTGCTGCTGGTGGTTGTGAGGGCGCTGGAGCCAGTGATGGTGGTGGTCGTGGGGATGCTGCTGGTGGGGGTGCTAGGGGAGTCAGGGGTTGAGGGGGTGACAGAGGAGGTCAGGGTTGAGGTGGAGTCAGAGGAGCCAGGAATTAAGGTGGAGACAGAGGAGGCTGGGGTAAGGGCAGAGGTGGAGGAGTCAGGGGTTGAGGCGGGGGAGGAAGAGGTCAGAGTTGCAGTCAAAGTGGTGGGGTCTAGGGTCGGGGTGGAGTTGGTAGGGTCCGGGGTCACAGTGGAGGGGTCTGGGGTCGTCGAGGTGGAGGAGTCCAGGGTCATCAAGGTGGAGGGGTCTGGGGTTGTCAAGGTGAAGGGGTTTGGGGTTGAGGTGGAGGGGTCTGAGGTTGTTGGGGTGGAGGGGTCCGGGGTCGAGGCGGAGGGGTCCTTAGTTGAGGTGGACGGGTCTGGGGTTGAGGTGGAGGAGTCCAGAGTTGTCATGGCAGAGGGGTCTGGAGTTGTCATGGTGGAGGGGTCCTTGGTTGAGGTGGAGGGGTCTGGGGTCATCACAGTGGAGGGATCTGGGGTCGAGAAGGAGGGGTCTGGGGTTGTCAAGGCAGAGGGGTCTGGGGTTGTCAAGGTGGAGGTGTCTGGGGTTGTCAAGGTGGAGGGGTCCAGGGTCAAGGTGGAGGGGTCTGGGGTTGTCAAGGTGGAGGCGTCCAGGGTCGAGGTGGAGGGGTCTGGGGTTGTCAAGGCAGAGAGGTCTGGGGTCAAGTTGGAGGGGTCTGGGGTCGTTGTGGTGGAGGGGTCCAGGGTTGAGGTGGAGGGGTCTGGGGTTGTCATGGCAGAAGGGTCTGGCGTCGTCAAAGTGGAGGAGTCCGGGGTTGTCGTGGCAGAGGGGTCTGGGGTTGTCATGGTGGAGGTTGTGGGGTCCCAGGTCGAGGCAGAGGTGTCTGGGGTCATCATGGTGGAGAGATCTGGGATTGTCAAGGTGGAGGGGCTTGGGGTTGAGGCGGAGGGGCCCGGGGTCCTTGTGTCAGAGGGGCCCGGGGTCGTTGTGGCAGAGGCGTCCAGGGTTGTTGTGGCGGAGGGGCCCGGGGTCGTTGTGGTGGAGGTGCCCGGGGTCGTTGCGGTGGAGGGGCCCGGGGTCGTTGTGGTGGAGGTGTCCGGGGTCGTTGCGGTGGAGGGGCCTGGAGTCGTTGTGGTGGAGGGGTCCAGGGTCGAGGTGGAGGGGTCTGGGGTTGTCAAGGCAGAGAGGTCTGGGGTCAAGTTGGAGGGGTCTGGGGTCATTGTGGTGGAGGGGTCCAGGGTTGAGGTGGAGGGGTCAGGGGTTGTCAAGGTGGAGGCCGAGGGTACCAGGGTTGAAGTGGAGATGTCCGGGGTCGTTGCAGTGGAGGGGTTCGGGGCCGTTGTGGTGGAGGGGTTCGGGGTCACAGCAGAGGTGGCAGTGGTTGATGTAGAGGTGGTGATGGTGGAGTCAGAGTGGGAGAAGAAGCAGTTAACAGCTGTGCGGCCTCCCTTCCTCTCACCCTTGGTCAGAGCTGGGCGAGACCTCCCCTCGTCTTCCCCCTTCTCTGCAACCCTTGGTCTTGCAGCCTCGACCTCTGCCCCAGCCCGTCCTGAGCCCGCCTGCTACGTTTGCACCTTCCAGCCTCCCCTGCAGCCTCACAGTCTCCACCCTCGACTTCACACTTTCAGTTTCTCCTCCCCTTTCGTTTTCTTCCCATGCCCTTTCCATGCCTGTTTGCACGGCTGTGGGGTGTGCAAGGATCAGTGGGGTGAGGGGTAGGGTTGGGTTAGGGTTACGTGTGTGTACCTACAGGGCCTCTCGTAGGGACAGGGACAGCCGGGAGGACAAATTTTTGGCCTTCTTTTGGCCCCTTGTCACTGCCATAGCCCTGGGGTAGGTTGTCCCCCTCCCTGTCCCCAATGTCTTTGTTTCCCTCCTTGTCCTTGTCCTTGTCCTTGTCCTTGTCCCCCTCCTTGTCCCCCTCCTTGTCCCCCTCCTTGTCCCTGTCCCCCCTCGCCAATGTTCCTGTCCCCGTGCCCACCAGGACAGAGCCACCTCAGGCCGTGGAGGCCGATTCCCCCCTCAGCCTCCCCAACACACCCTAAGGAGATGCCCCAGGGGTCGCCACCCCCTCCCACCCCCCTCGCCTGCATTTCAGTGCCCCCTGCCCAGGCTGCACTCACCCATTGCAACCCCGTGGAGGAGGAGGAAGAGGAGGAGGAAGGCCCGGGTACAAGACCCCATCTTGGCACCCCCCAGTTCTGCAGCGCTGCCAGCAGTGTCCCGGTACAGAGCCATGCCTGGGGCAGGAGTGGCGGTGGGGAACTTTGCCCCTCTGGGGGGAGGAGCTGTGCATCCCCACCTGGGGCTTCCCCAGGGGAAGGGATTAACAGCCCTAGGCATGTTGGAACCATCCCAGTACAAACGAATGCCACCAGTGCCTTAGCAGTTATTTATGGGGAGTTGGAGCAGGTCCGGTCATCCCAGTACAAACCAGTGACACCAGTGACTTGATACTTATTTATTTGGAATTAGAGGGGGTCCAGCCCTATGCAGGGGGAAGGGGGAGTCCTGACCCTTAAAGTGACCTGTGGGGGGGAAGGGGACAATACCCTGGAAATGACGTCATGGCCCCCCAAGTGAGGTCATCACCAGGAGAGCAGGGCCAGGACGAGTATGTGCAAGCAAGAGTTGGGGGCCCAATGAAGTGCTAAAGAAAGGGTGGAGGTCGTAACCCTAAAAGGCAGGGCCGTGATCTCCAACTTGAGGTCATGACCCCCCCAAAAGCAGGGGGGGTATCCCAAAGTGCTGTTTGAGTCCTAGGGGGGGGGGAGGGGCGGCAGCCTCCTGGTGTCCCCCCCTCTCCGTACTCAGAGCTCCGTGGCGATCCTCTCCGGCCTCTGGATCTGGATCTGGGGGGAGAAGATGGGGGTTAAGGGGGGGGGGGGGTGTCTCATGGTGAGGTCATGAGAGGGGTGGGGGTGCTACCACTATGTGTCCCCCCACCCATGTGCCCCCCCTCAGATGGGTGGGGGACTTACCTGTGCCGAGGTGTCCACGGACTGCAGGTCAACCCGCATGGTGTCATGGGCACCTGTGGAAATAAGGAGCTCAATGGGGATGCCCCAGGTGGGGGATCCACCAACCCCCCCATCCCATCATCCCATAAGTGGGTTTCCCCCCTCCAACCCCATACCTTCATTCTGGATGGTGAAGCCCCCAGGGACTTCCCAGTTTTCATCCTCTTCCTCATACCAGTGCTGCTTGGTCTCCGTCAGGTCGCTGGACCTGGGGGGTATAGAGGTGGTGACATCAGCTGGGGGCCTGGAGGCAACTGGGGGGGTCTTGAAGGCACTGAGGGGGGCCAAGCCCCGCTCCATCAGGACCACCAGAGGTGGGGCCAAGCACCACAGATGGGTGCCCATGAGGACTTCCATGGATGGAGACACTACAACTGGAGACTCCACAGAGGACCTCTACTTGTGGAGTTCCTCCTGTACCCATCACCTACCACTCCCATCCCCACGGGATTTCCCCACCTGTCTGACCACTTCTGCCACTTGGCCCTGAAGAGGAAGGCGGCAAGGACGAAGATGACCAAGCACAAGACCGCCACGGCCAGGCCCATGCCCACGGCCATCTTGCTGACCCGGCTCTTGCACCGATCGCCTTGGTACCAGTAGAGGTTGGTCTCACGGCAGCTGTGGGGAGGAGATGTGGGGATGAGTGTGGTGCCAAGACCACTGGCTAGGCCCATGGTGCTTGGTTCTTGGCCCCCCACAAGAGGGGGCCAAGAGCCCTCAGTAGGGCCCTGGAGGTGTCCCTGGGGGTGTCCTCATGCTACTTACAAGCACTGGGGGCCACTCCGGGTGAGCTGGCACTGCCCCTCGTTGCAGTCGATGGCACTGGCGGTGTTGGCCGAGCAGTTGGACACGCAGGTGAGGCCGCTTTTGGTGATGTTGGGGTAGTAGAAGTTCTGAAAGTCACTGGGTGCGATCTGGCGGCAATACGCTGCGGGGGGGACGGGGGTTGGCCGGGGGGAGACACGCATGGCCCCCAGCTCAAGGTCAGCCCTGAGCAACCCACCCCACGGGCTCACCTGTTGCATTGAACTCGTACGAGGGTTTGGTGATCGTCACTTCGGAGGCGTTGAAGCAGAAGGTGCCTGGGAAGCAGAGGGAGAGGCCGTGTGGAAGAGCCCCAGGCCTCAGGGGTCCCCAGGGCCCCAACCCTGTCCCCAGAGGCCCTAACTCTGCCCCAGGTCTAGGCCCGAATGGATTCCCAGAGCCTCAGCTATGTCCAGGATGCCCCAACCCTGTCCAAAGGGCCCCAAGCCTGTCCCTGGAGGCCAAAACCTTGTCCCCAAGGCTTAGGCCCGAATGGTTCCCCAGGGCCCCAACCCTATCCTTGGAAGACTCCAACCATGCCCCCAAGGCCTAGGCCTAAAGGGGTGCCAAGGGCCCCAACCCCATCACAGAGGGCCCCAACTCTGTCCCTGGGGGTCCCAACCCCGTCCCTAGGGGGCAGAGACTCACTGTTATCAGTGCAGTTTTCCTGCTGGGTCGCTGCTTGGACGATCTCCTCCTGCACATTCTTGGTGACGTTACTGATCTTCTCCGTGGTATCGGCGGTCACCAGCACAGCAACGATGACGGTGTGATTCACCACGATGCTGCCCGGTCTGAGGGGACACCCCAATGCCCGTTGGTGTAGCCCCAATAGCAGTTGGAGCACCCCAATAACCCTTCATCATTGACCAGCATGAGGCCAGTTGGAGCACCCCAATACCAGTTGGAGCACTTCAGTGGTAATCAAAGCACTCGATGCCCACTGGAGCACCCTGAAACCCTTTCCCAGAGGCCAGCAGCCCAACACTCACGACAGACTCAGGATCTTGATGCCCTGGTAGCCTTCAATGTTGCGGTAGAAGATTTCCATCTGGAAGAGAAGGAGGCCACAGGCCGGTTATCGGTGTCCCGCTCCCTTCCCTTGCAAGTTCCTTCCCCACCTTGGATTCCCCCCAAAGCAAGCACACCCCTAACAAGGACAGAGAAGACCCCAGGGGGACAAGAACAGCATCCCACCTGCAGGGTGAAGCTGAGGACGAAGCTCTTGTAGACTTCAGAGCTTTCGTTTCGGAGGTCCTCGGTGAACTCCTGGTTGGTGACTCGCAGCTCCACGCTCACGGACACGTTCGTTTCTTTTGAGGAAGGCAGGAGATGGGACTCAGGATTGGAAAGCAACCCCAGCATCTTAGGCATTGCTGCTGTGCCCTGAAGGCACTAATGAGCCTTAATGGCCCCAACCAGCCTCACCTGGGACCTCCAGCCCCTGCTTATTGATGCAGGGAGGGGCATTTAAGGGCAGCCCCCAGTCTTCTGGAGGTGTGTTAATGGGGACCTGCTCTTGCACTGCTTCTGGATGCTGCTTGGCCCTCCTCTATGGTGCCATCCCCTATTTTTCTCCCTGCGCCTTTGGGTGCTGTGGGAGTGTTTGTGACTGTTGAAGAATTCTTTACTCACATGTTTGGGTGCTCCAGGACAAGGCACTGGTTGGAGAAGTCCTTACCCACACCTTTGGGTGCTGTAGGACTTTGTGCTGGTTGGGAAACCCCTTGCCCACAATGCTAGGGGCTACAGGATAACACCCAGGTTGGAGAACTCATTGCTAACACCTTTGGGTGCTCTGGACCCATGCCCTTCTTGCAGCCCATGCCCATGGTCATTCCTGACTCACCCACCCCATGAGGAAGCCCCCCTCCTGGTTCTGTGCAGAAGATTTGGTCCCTCGTGGGATAGTTGAGGTCCATGCCTGTGGCCATGGTCACTCCTGCCTTGCCCTCCCTGTAAGGAAACCCCACTCCTGGTTCTCCCCAGATTTTGCCCAGATTGGGCTGGAGGTGGGTGCAGAGGGCTCCCTACCAGCTTTGGTCTCGATGCTGCTCTCGACGGAACCGCAGTTGGCGCCCGTGTATCCCGGGGGACACACACATTGGCCGTTGACCCAAGTGCCTCCATTTTCGCAGACCCCTGGAAAAGACAGTGTGAGATGGGACTGGGAGGTGTGGGGTGAGGAAGCTGTTCTGGGTGCAGCTAAGGGTGGGAGGGGTGGTACCTGGGGTGGTGGTGGTGGTTGGGCTCGTGGTGGTCCTGGTGGTAGTAGTGGTGGTAGTTGCACGTGTGGTGGTGGTGGTCGTTGTCTTGATGGTGGTCGTTGTGGTGGTAATGGTGGTGGTTGGGTGCATGGTGGCTGTGGTTGTTGAGTGGGTGGTGGAGGTGGGGAGTGTGACGGTGGCATTGGTTGGCTGAGCAGAGGTGGTGCTCATGGTGGAGAGCACGGTGGTCCTGGTGTTTGGCTGGGTGGTGGTTGGCTGGCTGGTGGTAGTGGGGAGCGTGGTGGTTGGCAGAGTGGTGGTGGTCTTGGAGAGCATGGTAGTGCTGGTGGTGAGGAGAGTGGTGGTGCTGCTTGGCTGGTTGTTAGTGGTAGTGGCTGTTTGTCTGGTGGTGCTGCTGATCATGGACGTGTAAGTGCCAGTGCTCGTGGGAGCAGTGGCGCTGGTGCTTGTGGTAGCAGCAGTGCTGGTGCTCAAGGGAGATGGAGTTATTGTACTCATGAGTTCAGACGCCTCAGTGCTTGTGGTAGCAGTGGTGCTGGTGCTGGTGGGAGCAGTGGTGCTGGTGCTAATGGCAATAGCGGCGCTCGTGGGAACAGTGGTGCTGGTGCTCATGGCAATAGCGGTGCTCACGGGAGCAGTGGTGCTGGTGCTGCTCGTAGATCCTGTTGTCTCAGTGCTGATTGGAGCACTGGTGCTGGTGACCGTTGTCGCAGTGGTGCTGGTGCTAAATGGAGAAGTAGGAATTGAACTCGTGGGTCCGGACGTCTGAGTGCTTGTGGTAGCAGTGGGGCTAGTGCTGGTGGGAGCAGTGGCGCTGGTGCTCGTGGGAGCACTGGCGCTGCTGCTCACGGGAGCAGTGGTGCTGGTGCTCGTAGGTCCTGTTGTCTCAGTGCTGATTGGAGCAGTTGTGCTGGTGATTGTTGTCGCAGTGGTGCTGGTGCTCAAGGGAGCAGTGCTGATGCTGCTCGTAGGTCCTGTTGTCTCACTGCTGATTGGAGCAGTGGTGCTGGTGCTCATGGTTGTAATGTTGGTGGTACTCACGGGAGCAGTGGTGCTGCTGCTCGTGGGAGCAGTGGTGCTGCTGCTCGTGGGAGCAGTGGTGCTGCTGCTCGTAGGTCCTGTTGTCTCAGTGCTGATTGGAGCAGTTGTGCTGGTGATTGTTGTGGCAGTAGTGCTGGTGCTCGTGGTTGTAGTGTTGGTGGTACTCACGGGAGCAGTGGTGCTGGTGCTCGTGGTAGCAGTGGTGCTGGTGCTAGTGGGAGCAGTGGCGCTGGTGCTTGTGGGAGCAGTGGTGCTGGTGCTTGTGGTTGTAGTGTTGGTGGTACTCACGGGAGCAGTGGTGCTGGTGCTCGTGGGAGCAGTGGTGCTGGTGCTCGTAGGTCCTGTTGTCTCAGTGCTGATTGGAGCAGTTGTGCTGGTGATTGTTGTCGCAGTGGTGCTGGTGCTCGTGGTTGTAGTGTTGGTGGTACTCACGGGAGCAGTGGTGCTGGTGCTCGTGGTAGCAGTGGTGCTGGTGCTAGTGGGAGCAGTGGCGCTGGTGCTTGTGGGAGCAGTGGTGCTGGTGCTTGTGGTTGCAGTGGTGCTGGTGCTCAAGGGAGAAGTAGGAATTGTACTCGTGGGTCCGGACGTCTGAGTGCTTGTGGTAGCAGTGGTGCTGGTAGTCACTGGAGCAGTGACGCTGGTACTCACGGGAGTAGTGGTGCTGGCGCTCGTGGGAGCAGTGGTGCTGGTGCTCGTGGGAGCAGTGGCGCTGGTGCTCATGGTTGTAGTGTTGGTGGTACTCACGGGAGCAGTGGTGCTGGTGCTCGTAGGTCCTGTTGTCTCAGTGCTGATTGGAGCACTGGTGCTGGTGACCGTTGTCGCAGTGGCGCTGCTGCTCGTGGTTGTAGTGTAGGTGGTACTCACGGGAGCAGTGGTGCTGGTGCTCGTGGGAGCAGTGGTGCTGCTGCTCACGGGAGCAGTGGTGCTGGTGCTCGTAGGTCCTGTTGTCTCAGTGCTGATTGGAGCAGTTGTGCTGGTGATTGTTGTCGCAGTGGTGCTGGTGCTCAAGGGAGCCGTTACACTGGTGCTCGTGGGAGCAGTGGTGCTGGTGCTCGTGGGAGCAGTGGCGCTCGTGCTCATAAGTCCGGATGTCTCAGGGCTTGTGGTAGCAGCGGTGCTGGTGCTCAAGGGAGATGGAGTTATTGTACTCGTGAGTTCAGACGCCTCAGTGCTCGTGGTAGTAGTGGTGCTGATGCTGGTGGGAGAAGTGGTGCTGGTGCTCATGGTTGCAGGGGTGCTGGTGCTCAAGGGAGCAGTTACGCTTGTGCTTGTGGGAGCAGTGGTGCTGGTGCTCGAGGGAGAAGTAGCGCTGGTGCTCACGGGAGTAGTGGTGCTAGTTGGAGAAGTGGTGCTGGTGCTCATGACAGTAGTGGCGCTACTGGTCGTGGGAGCAGTGCTGGTACTGCTCGTAGGTCCTGTTGTCTCAGTGCTGATTGGAGCAGTGGTGCTGGTGCTCATGGGAGAAGTTGTGCTGCTAGTCATGGGAGCAGTGGTGCTGGTGCTTGTGCTAGCAGTGGCACTAGTGCTCAAGTGAGAAGTAGGTATTGGACTCGTGGGTCCGGACATCTCAGTGCTTGTGGTAGCAGTGGTGCTGGTGCTAGTGGGAGCAGTGGCGCTGGTGCTTGTGGGAGCAGTGGTGCTGGTGCTTGTGGTTTCAGTGGTGCTGGTGCTCAAGGGAGAAGTAGGAATTGTACTCGTGGGTCCGGACGTCTGAGTGCTTGTGGTAGCAGTGGTGCTGGTAGTCACTGGAGCAGTGACGCTGGTACTCACGGGAGTAGTGGTGCTGGTGCTCGTGGGAGCAGTGGTGCTGGTGCTCGTGGGAGCAGTGGCGCTGGTGCTCATGGTTGTAGTGTTGGTGGTACTCACGGGAGCAGTGGTGCTGGTGCTCGTGGGAGAAGTGGTGCTGGTGCTCACGGGAGCAGTGGTGCTGGTGCTCGTAGGTCCTGTTGTCTCAGTGCTGATTGGAGCAGTTGTGCTGGTGATTGTTGTCGCAGTGGTGCTGGTGCTCAAGGGAGCAGTGCTGATGCTGCTCGTAGGTCCTGTTGTCTCACTGCTGATTGGAGCAGTGGTGCTGGTGCTCATGGTTGTAATGTTGGTGGTACTCACGGGAGCAGTGGTGCTGCTGCTCGTGGGAGCAGTGGTGCTGGTGCTCGTGGGAGCAGTGGTGCTGGTGCTCGTAGGTCCTGTTGTCTCAGTGCTGATTGGAGCAGTTGTGCTGGTGATTGTTGTCGCAGTGGTGCTGGTGCTCGTGGTTGTAGTGTTGGTGGTACTCACGGGAGCAGTGGTGCTGGTGCTCGTGGTAGCAGTGGTGCTGGTGCTAGTGGGAGCAGTGGCGCTGGTGCTTGTGGGAGCAGTGGTGCTGGTGCTTGTGGTTGCAGTGGTGCTGGTGCTCAAGGGAGAAGTAGGAATTGTACTCGTGGGTCCGGACGTCTGAGTGCTTGTGGTAGCAGTGGTGCTGGTAGTCACTGGAGCAGTGACGCTGGTACTCACGGGAGCAGTGGTGCTGGTGCTCGTGGGAGCAGTGGCGCTGGTGCTCATGGTTGTAGTGTAGGTGGTACTCACGGGAGCAGTGGTGCTGGTGCTCGTGGGAGCAGTGGTGCTGGTGCTCGTGGGAGCAGTGGTGCTGGTGCTCGTAGGTCCTGTTGTCTCAGTGCTGATTGGAGCAGTTGTGCTGGTGATTGTTGTCGCAGTGGTGCTGGTGCTCAAGGGAGCCGTTACACTGGTGCTCGTGGGAGCAGTGGTGCTGGTGCTCGTGGGAGCAGTGGCGCTCGTGCTCATAAGTCCGGATGTCTCAGGGCTTGTGGTAGCAGCGGTGCTGGTGCTCAAGGGAGATGGAGTTATTGTACTCGTGAGTTCAGACGCCTCAGTGCTCGTGGTAGTAGTGGTGCTGATGCTGGTGGGAGAAGTGGTGCTGGTGCTCATGACAGTAGTGGCGCTACTGGTCGTGGGAGCAGTGCTGGTACTGCTCGTAGGTCCTGTTGTCTCAGTGCTGATTGGAGCAGTGGTGCTGGTGCTCATGGGAGAAGTTGTGCTGCTAGTCATGGGAGCAGTGGGGCTGGTGCTTGTGCTAGCAGTGGCACTAGTGCTCAAGTGAGAAGTAGGTATTGGACTCGTGGGTCCGGACATCTCAGTGCTTGTCGTTGCAGTGGTGCTGGTGCTAGTGGGAGCAGTGGTACTGCTGCTCGTGGGAGAAGTAGCGCTGGTGCTCACGGGAGTAGTGGTGCTGGTTGGAGAAGTGGTGCTGCTGCTCGTGGGAGCAGTGGTGGTAGTGCTCGTAGGTCCTGTTGTCTCAGTGCTGATTGGAGCAGTGGCGCTGGTGCTCATGTTTGTAGTGTTGGTGGTACTCACGGGAGCAGTGGTGCTGGTGCTCGTGGGAGCAGTGGCGCTCGTGCTCATAAGTCCGGATGTCTCAGGGCTTGTGGTAGCAGCGGTGCTGGTGCTCAAGGGAGATGGAGTTATTGTACTCGTGAGTTCAGACGCCTCAGTGCTCGTGGTAGTAGTGGTGCTGATGCTGGTGGGAGAAGTGGTGCTGGTGCTCATGGTTGCAGGGGTGCTGGTGCTCAAGGGAGCAGTTACGCTTGTGCTTGTGGGAGCAGTGGTGCTGGTGCTCGAGGGAGAAGTAGCGCTGGTGCTCACGGGAGTAGTGGTGCCGGTTGGAGAAGTGGTGCTGGTGCTCATGACAGTAGTGGCGCTACTGGTCGTGGGAGCAGTGCTGGTACTGCTCGTAGGTCCTGTTGTCTCAGTGCTGATTGGAGCAGTGGTGCTGGTGCTCATGGGAGAAGTTGTGCTGCTAGTCATGGGAGCAGTGGTGCTGGTGCTTGTGCTAGCAGTGGCACTAGTGCTCAAGTGAGAAGTAGGTATTGGACTCGTGGGTCCGGACATCTCAGTGCTTGTGGTAGCAGTGGTGCTGGTGCTAGTGGGAGCAGTGGCGCTGGTGCTTGTGGGAGCAGTGGTGCTGGTGCTTGTGGTTTCAGTGGTGCTGGTGCTCAAGGGAGAAGTAGGAATTGTACTCGTGGGTCCGGACGTCTGAGTGCTTGTGGTAGCAGTGGTGCTGGTAGTCACTGGAGCAGTGACGCTGGTACTCACGGGAGTAGTGGTGCTGGTGCTCGTGGGAGCAGTGGTGCTGGTGCTCGTGGGAGCAGTGGTGCTGGTGCTCGTGGGAGCAGTGGCGCTGGTGCTCATGGTTGTAGTGCTGGTGGTACTCACGGGAGCAGTGGTGCTGGTGCTCGTGGGAGAAGTGGTGCTGGTGCTCACGGGAGCAGTGGTGCTGGTGCTCGTAGGTCCTGTTGTCTCAGTGCTGATTGGAGCAGTTGTGCTGGTGATTGTTGTCGCAGTGGTGCTGGTGCTCAAGGGAGCAGTGCTGATGCTGCTCGTAGGTCCTGTTGTCTCACTGCTGATTGGAGCAGTGGCGCTGCTGCTCGTGGTTGTAGTGTAGGTGGTACTCACGGGAGCAGTGGTGCTGGTGCTTGTGGGAGCAGTGGTGCTGGTGCTCGTGGGAGAAGTGGTGCTGGTGCTCGTGGTATCAGTGGTGCTGGTGCTCACGGGAGCAGTGGTGCTGGTGCTTGTAGGTCCTGTTGTCTCAGTGCTGATTGGAGCAGTTGTGCTGGTGATTGTTGTCGCAGTGGTGCTGGTGCTCAAGGGAGCAGTGCTGATGCTGCTCGTAGGTCCTGTTGTCTCACTGCTGATTGGAGCAGTGGTGCTGGTGCTCATGGGAGCAGTGGCGCTGGTGCTCATGGTTGTAGTGTTGGTGGTACTAACGGGAGCAGTGGTGCTGGTGCTCGTGGGAGCAGTGGTGCTGCTGCTCACGGGAGCAGTGGTGCTGGTGCTCGTAGGTCCTGTTGTCTCAGTGCTGATTGGAGCAGTTGTGCTGGTGATTGTTGTCACAATGGTGCTGGTGCTCAAGGGAGCAGTTACACTGGTGCTCGTGGGAGCAGTGGCGCTGGTGCTCATGGTTGTAGTGTTGGTGGTACTCACGGGAGCAGTGGTGCTGGTGCTCGTGGGAGCAGTGGCGCTCGTGCTCATAAGTCCGGATGTCTCAGGGCTTGTGGTAGCAGCGGTGCTGGTGCTCAAGGGAGATGGAGTTATTGTACTCGTGAGTTCAGACGCCTCAGTGCTCGTGGTAGTAGTGGTGCTGATGCTGGTGGGAGAAGTGGTGCTGGTGCTCATGGTTGCAGGGGTGCTGGTGCTCAAGGGAGCAGTTACGCTTGTGCTTGTGGGAGCAGTGGTGCTGGTGCTCGAGGGAGAAGTAGCGCTGGTGCTCACGGGAGTAGTGGTGCTGGTTGGAGAAGTGGTGCTGGTGCTCATGACAGTAGTGGCGCTACTGGTCGTGGGAGCAGTGCTGGTACTGCTCGTAGGTCCTGTTGTCTCAGTGCTGATTGGAGCAGTGGTGCTGGTGCTCATGGGAGAAGTTGTGCTGCTAGTCATGGGAGCAGTGGGGCTGGTGCTTGTGCTAGCAGTGGCACTAGTGCTCAAGTGAGAAGTAGGTATTGGACTCGTGGGTCCGGACATCTCAGTGCTTGTGGTAGCAGTGGTGCTGGTGCTAGTGGGAGCAGTGGCGCTGGTGCTTGTGGGAGCAGTGGTGCTGGTGCTTGTGGTTGCAGTGGTGCTGGTGCTCAAGGGAGAAGTAGGAATTGTACTCGTGGGTCCGGACGTCTGAGTGCTTGTGGTAGCAGTGGTGCTGGTAGTCACTGGAGCAGTGACGCTGGTACTCACGGGAGCAGTGGTGCTGGTGCTCGTGGGAGCAGTGGTGCTGGTGCTCGTGGGAGCAGTGGCGCTGGTGCTCATGGTTGTAGTGTTGGTGGTACTCACGGGAGCAGTGGTGCTGGTGGTCGTGGTATCAGTGGTGCTGCTGCTCACGAGAGCAGTGGTGCTTCTGCTCACGGGAGCAGTGGTGCTGGTGCTCATGTTTGTAGTGTTGGTGATACTCACAGGAGCAGTGGTGCTGGTGCTCGTGGGAGCAGTGGCGCTGGTGCTCATGGTTGTAGTGTTGGTGGTACTCACGGGAGCAGTGGTGCTGGTGCTCGTGGGAGCAGTGGCGCTCGTGCTCATAAGTCCGGTTGTCTCAGGGCTTGTGGTAGCAGCGGTGCTGGTGCTCAAGGGAGATGGAGTTATTGTACTCGTGAGTTCAGATGCCTCAGTGCTCGTGGTAGTAGTGGTGCTGATGCTGGTGGGAGAAGTGGTGCTGGTGCTTGTGGGAGCAGTGGCGCTGGTGCTTGTGGGAGCAGTGGTGCTGGTGCTTGTGGGAGCAGTGGTGCTGGTGCTCAAGGGAGAAGTAGGAATTGTACTCGTGGGTCCGGACGTCTGAGTGCTTGTGGTAGCAGTGGTGCTGGTAGTCACTGGAGCAGTGACGCTGGTACTCACGGGAGTAGTGGTGCTGGTGCTCGTGGGAGCAGTGGTGCTGGTGCTCGTGGGAGCAGTGGTGCTGGTGCTCGTGGCAGCAGTGGCGCTGGTGCTCATGGTTGTAGTGTTGGTGGTACTCACGGGAGCAGTAGTGCTGGTGCTCGTGGTATCAGTGGTGCTGGTGCTCACGGGAGCAGTGGTGCTGGTGCTCGTAGGTCCTGTTGTCTCAGTGCTGATTGGAGCAGTTGTGCTGGTGATTGTTGTCGCAGTGGTGCTGGTGCTCGTGGTTGTAGTGTTGGTGGTACTCACGGGAGCAGTGGTGCTGGTGCTCGTGGTAGCAGTGGTGCTGGTGCTAGTGGGAGCAGTGGCGCTGGTTCTTGTGGGAGCAGTTGTTCTGGTGCTTGTGGTTGCAGTGGTGCTGGTGCTCAAGGGAGAAGTAGGAATTGTACTCGTGGGTCCGGACGTCTGAGTGCTTGTGGAAGCAGTGGTGCTGGTAGTCACTGGAGCAGTGGTGTTGGTGCTCGTGGGAGCAGTGGTGCTGGCGCTCGTGGGAGCAGTGGTGCTGCTGCTCACGGGAGCAGTGGTGCTGGTGCTCGTAGGTCCTGTTGTCTCAGTGCTGATTGGAGCACTGGTGCTGGTGACCGTTGTCGCAGTGGCGCTGCTGCTCGTGGTTGTAGTGTAGGTGGTACTCACGGGAGCAGTGGTGCTGGTGCTCGTGGGAGCAGTGGTGCTGGTGCTCGTAGGTCCTGTTGTCTCAGTGCTGATTGGAGCAGTTGTGCTGGTGATTGTTGTCGCAGTGGTGCTGGTGCTCAAGGGAGCCGTTACACTGGTGCTCGTGGGAGCAGTGGTGCTGGTGCTCGTGGGAGCAGTGGCGCTCGTGCTCATAAGTCCGGATGTCTCAGGGCTTGTGGTAGCAGCGGTGCTGGTGCTCAAGGGAGATGGAGTTATTGTACTCGTGAGTTCAGACGCCTCAGTGCTCGTGGTAGTAGTGGTGCTGATGCTGGTGGGAGAAGTGGTGCTGGTGCTCATGGTTGCAGGGGTGCTGGTGCTCAAGGGAGCAGTTACGCTTGTGCTTGTGGGAGCAGTGGTGCTGGTGCTCGTGGGAGAAGTAGCGCTGGTGCTCACGGGAGTAGTGGTGCTGGTTTGGGAAGTGGTGCTGGTGCTCATGACAGTAGTGGCGCTACTGGTCGTGGGAGCAGTGCTGGTACTGCTCGTAGGTCCTGTTGTCTCAGTGCTGATTGGAGCAGTGGTGCTGGTGCTCATGGGAGAAGTTGTGCTGCTAGTCATGGGAGCAGTGGTGCTGGTGCTTGTGCTAGCAGTGGCACTAGTGCTCAAGTGAGAAGTAGGTATTGGACTCGTGGGTCCGGACATCTCAGTGCTTGTGGTAGCAGTGGCGCTGGTGCTTGTGGGAGCAGTGGTGCTGGTGCTTGTGGTTTCAGTGGTGCTGGTGCTCAAGGGAGAAGAAGGAATTGTACTCGTGGGTCCGGACGTCTGAGTGCTTGTGGTAGCAGTGGTGCTGGTAGTCACTGGAGCAGTGACGCTGGTACTCACGGGAGTAGTGGTGCTGGTGCTCGTGGGAGCAGTGGTGCTGGTGGTCGTGGGAGCAGTGGTGCTGGTGCTCGTGGGAGCAGTGGCGCTGGTGCTCATGGTTGTAGTGCTGGTGGTACTCACGGGAGCAGTGGTGCTGGTGCTCGTGGGAGAAGTGGTGCTGGTGCTCGTGGTATCAGTGGTGCTGGTGCTCACGGGAGCAGTGGTGCTGGTGCTCGTAGGTCCTGTTGTCTCAGTGCTGATTGGAGCAGTTGTGCTGGTGATTGTTGTCGCAGTGGTGCTGGTGCTCAAGGGAGCAGTGCTGATGCTGCTCGTAGGTCCTGTTGTCTCACTGCTGATTGGAGCAGTGGTGCTGGTGCTCATGGTTGTAATGTTGGTGGTACTCACGGGAGCAGTGGTGCTGCTGCTCACAGGAGCAGTGGTGCTGGTGCTCGTAGGTCCTGTTGTCTCAGTGCTGATCGGAGCAGTTGTGCTGGTGATTGTTGTCGCAGTGGCGCTGCTGCTCGTGGTTGTAGTGTAGGTGGTACTCACGGGAGCAGTGGTGCTGGTGCTCGTGGGAGCAGTGGTGCTGGTGCTCGTGGGAGCAGTGGTGCTGGTGCTCGTGGGAGCAGTGGCGCTGGTGCTCATGGTTGTAGTGTTGGTGGTACTCAAGGGAGCAGTGGTGCTGGTGCTCGTGGGAGCAGTGGTGCTGGTGCTCGTGGGAGCAGTGGTGCTGGTGCTCGTAGGTCCTGTTGTCTCAGTGCTGATTGGAGCAGTTGTGCTGGTGATTGTTGTCGCAGTGGTGCTGGTGCTCAAGGGAGCCGTTACACTGGTGCTCGTGGGAGCAGTGGTGCTGGTGCTCGTGGGAGCAGTGGCGCTCGTGCTCATAAGTCCGGATGTCTCAGGGCTTGTGGTAGCAGCGGTGCTGGTGCTCAAGGGAGATGGAGTTATTGTACTCGTGAGTTCAGACGCCTCAGTGCTCGTGGTAGTAGTGGTGCTGATGCTGGTGGGAGAAGTGGTGCTGGTGCTCATGGTTGCAGGGGTGCTGGTGCTCAAGGGAGCAGTTACGCTTGTGCTTGTGGGAGCAGTGGTGCTGGTGCTCGAGGGAGAAGTAGCGCTGGTGCTCACGGGAGTAGTGGTGCTAGTTGGAGAAGTGGTGCTGGTGCTCATGACAGTAGTGGCGCTACTGGTCGTGGGAGCAGTGCTGGTACTGCTCGTAGGTCCTGTTGTCTCAGTGCTGATTGGAGCAGTGGTGCTGGTGCTCATGGGAGAAGTTGTGCTGCTAGTCATGGGAGCAGTGGTGCTGGTGCTTGTGCTAGCAGTGGCACTAGTGCTCAAGTGAGAAGTAGGTATTGGACTCGTGGGTCCGGACATCTCAGTGCTTGTGGTAGCAGTGGTGCTGGTGCTAGTGGGAGCAGTGGTGCTGGTGCTTGTGGGAGCAGTGGTGCTGGTGCTTGTGGTTGCAGTGGTGCTGGTGCTCAAGGGAGAAGTAGGAATTGTACTCGTGGGTCCTGACGTCTGAGTGCTTGTGGTAGCAGTGGTGCTGGTAGTCACTGGAGCAGTGACGCTGGTACTCACGGGAGTAGTGGTGCTGGTGCTCGTGGGAGCAGCGGTGCTGGTGCTCAAGGGAGATGGAGTTATTGTACTCGTGAGTTCAGACGCCTCAGTGCTCGTGGTAGTAGTGGTGCTGATGCTGGTGGGAGAAGTGGTGCTGGTGCTCATGGTTGCAGTGGTGCTGGTGCTCAAGGGAGCAGTTACGCTTGTGCTTGTGGGAGCAGTGTTGCTGGTGCTCACGGGAGTAGTGGTGCTGGTTGGAGAAGTGGTGCTGGTGCTCATGACAGTAGTGGCGCTACTGGTCGTGGGAGCAGTGCTGGTACTGCTCGTAGGTCCTGTTGTCTCAGTGCTGATTGGAGCAGTGGTGCTGGTGCTCATGGGAGAAGTTGTGCTGCTAGTCACGGGAGCAGTGGTGTTGGTGCTTGTGCTAGCAGTGGCGCTAGTGCTCAAGTGAGAAGTAGGTATTGGACTCGTGGGTCCGGACATCTCAGTGCTTGTCGTTGCAGTGGTGCTGGTGCTAGTGGGAGCAGTGGTACTGCTGCTCGTGGGAGAAGTAGCGCTGGTGCTCACGGGAGTAGTGGTGCTGGTTGGAGAAGTGGTGCTGGTGCTAGTGGGAGTAGTGGTGCTGCTGCTCGTGGGAGCAGTGGTGGTAGTGCTCGTAGGTCCTGTTGTCTCAGTGCTGATTGGAGCAGTGGCGCTGGTGCTCATGGTTGTAGTGTTGGTGGTACTCACGGGAGCAGTGGTGCTGGTGCTCGTGGGAGCAGTGGCGCTCGTGCTCATAAGTCCGGATGTCTCAGGGCTTGTGGTAGCAGCGGTGCTGGTGCTCAAGGGAGATGGAGTTATTGTACTCGTGAGTTCAGACGCCTCAGTGCTCGTGGTAGTAGTGGTGCTGATGCTGGTGGGAGAAGTGGTGCTGGTGCTCATGGTTGCAGTGGTGCTGGTGCTTGTGGGAGCAGTGGCGCTGGTGCTCATGGTTTTAGTGTTGGTGGTACTCATGGGAGCAGTGGTGCTGGTGCTCGTGGGAGAAGTAGCGCTGGTGCTCACGGGAGTAGTGGTGCTGGTTGGAGAAGTGGTGCTGGTGCTCATGACAGTAGTGGCGCTACTGGTCGTTGGAGCAGTGCTGGTACTGCTCGTAGGTCCTGTTGTCTCAGTGCTGATTGGAGCAGTGGTGCTGGTGCTCATGGGAGAAGTTGTGCTGCTAGTCATGGGAGCAGTGGTGCTGGTGCTTGTGCTAGCAGTGGCACTAGTGCTCAAGTGAGAAGTAGGTATTGGACTCGTGGGTCCGGACATCTCAGTGCTAGTGGGAGCAGTGGCGCTGGTGCTTGTGGGAGCAGTGGTGCTGGTGCTTGTGGTTGCAGTGGTGCTGGTGCTCAAGGGAGAAGTAGGAATTGTACTCGTGGGTCCGGACGTCTGAGTGCTTGTGGTAGCAGTGGTGCTGGTAGTCACTGGAGCAGTGACGCTGGTACTCACGGGAGTAGTGGTGCTGGTGCTCGTGGGAGCAGTGGTGCTGGTGGTCGTGGGAGCAGTGGCGCTGGTGCTCATGGTTGTAGTGTTGGTGGTACTCACGGGAGCAGTGGTGCTGGTGCTCGTGGGAGAAGTGGTGCTGGTGCTCGTGGTATCAGTGGTGCTGGTGCTCACGGGAGCAGTGGTGCTGGTGCTCGTAGGTCCTGTTGTCTCAGTGCTGATTGGAGCAGTTGTGCTGGTGATTGTTGTCGCAGTGGTGCTGGTGCTCAAGGGAGCAGTGCTGATGCTGCTCGTAGGTCCTGTTGTCTCACTGCTGATTGGAGCAGTGGTGCTGGTGCTCGTGGGAGCAGTGGCGCTGGTGCTCACGGGAGTAGTGTTGGTGGTACTAACGGGAGCAGTGGTGCTGGTGCTCGTGGGAGCAGTGGTGCTGCTGCTCACGGGAGCAGTGGTGCTGGTGCTCGTAGGTCCTCTTGTCGCAGTGCTGATTGGAGCAGTTGTGCTGGTGATTGTTGTCGCAATGGTGCTGGTGCTCGTGGGAGCAGTGGCGCTGGTGCTCATGGTTGTAGTGTTGGTGGTACTCACGGGAGCAGTGGTGCTGGTGCTCGTGGGAGAAGTGGTGCTGGTGCTCGTGGTATCAGTGGTGCTGCTGCTCACGGGAGCAGTGCTGATGCTGCTCGTAGGTCCTGTTGTCTCACTGCTGATTGGAGCAGTGGTGCTGGTGCTCGTGGGAGCAGTGGCGCTCGTGCTCATAAGTCCGGATGTCTCAGGGCTTGTGGTAGCAGCGGTGCTGGTGCTCAAGGGAGATGGAGTTATTGTACTCGTGAGTTCAGACGCCTCAGTGCTCGTGGTAGTAGTGGTGCTGATGCCGGTGGGAGAAGTGGTGCTGGTGCTCATGGTTGCAGGGGTGCTGGTGCTCAAGGGAGCAGTTACGCTTGTGCTTGTGGGAGCAGTGGTGCTGGTGCTCGAGGGAGAAGTAGCGCTGGTGCTCAAGGGAGAAGAAGGAATTGTACTCGTGGGTCCGGACGTCTGAGTGCTTGTGGTAGCAGTGGTGCTGGTAGTCACTGGAGCAGTGACGCTGGTACTCACGGGAGTAGTGGTGCTGGTTTGGGAAGTGGAGCTGGTGCTCATGACAGTAGTGGCGCTACTGGTCGTGGGAGCAGTGCTGGTACTGCTCGTAGGTCCTGTTGTCTCAGTGCTGATTGGAGCAGTGGTGCTGGTGCTCATGGGAGAAGTTGTGCTGCTAGTCATGGGAGCAGTGGGGCTGTAGCTTGTGCTAGCAGTGGCACTAGTGCTCAAGTGAGAAGTAGGTATTGGACTCTTGGGTCCGGACATCTCAGTGCTTGTGGTAGCAGTGGTGCTGGTGCTAGTGGGAGCAGTGGCGCTGGTGCTTGTGGGAGCAGTGGTGCTGGTGCTTGTGGTTGCAGTGGTGCTGGTGCTCAAGGGAGAAGTAGGAATTGTACTCGTGGGTCCGGACGTCTGAGTGCTTGTGGTAGCAGTGGTGCTGGTAGTCACTGGAGCAGTGACGCTGGTACTCACGGGAGCAGTGGTGCTGGTGCTCGTGGGAGCAGTGGTGCTGGTTCTTGTGGGAGCAGTTGTTCTGGTGCTTGTGGTTGCAGTGGTGCTGGTGCTCAAGGGAGAAGTAGGAATTGTACTCGTGGGTCCGGACGTCTGAGTGCTTGTGGAAGCAGTGGTGCTGGTAGTCACTGGAGCAGTGGTGCTGGCGCTCGTGGGAGCAGTGGTGCTGCTGCTCACGGGAGCAGTGGTGCTGGTGCTCGTAGGTCCTGTTGTCTCAGTGCTGATTGGAGCACTGGTGCTGGTGACCGTTGTCGCAGTGGCGCTGCTGCTCGTGGTTGTAGTGTAGGTGGTACTCACGGGAGCAGTGGTGCTGGTGCTCGTGGGAGCAGTGGTGCTGGTGCTCGTAGGTCCTGTTGTCTCAGTGCTGATTGGAGCAGTTGTGCTGGTGATTGTTGTCGCAGTGGTGCTGGTGCTCAAGGGAGCCGTTACACTGGTGCTCGTGGGAGCAGTGGTGCTGGTGCTCGTGGGAGCAGTGGCGCTCGTGCTCATAAGTCCGGATGTCTCAGGGCTTGTGGTAGCAGCGGTGCTGGTGCTCAAGGGAGATGGAGTTATTGTACTCGTGAGTTCAGACGCCTCAGTGCTCGTGGTAGTAGTGGTGCTGATGCTGGTGGGAGAAGTGGTGCTGGTGCTCATGGTTGCAGGGGTGCTGGTGCTCAAGGGAGCAGTTACGCTTGTGCTTGTGGGAGCAGTGGTGCTGGTGCTCGAGGGAGAAGTAGCGCTGGTGCTCACGGGAGTAGTGGTGCTGGTTTGGGAAGTGGTGCTGGTGCTCATGACAGTAGTGGCGCTACTGGTCGTGGGAGCAGTGCTGGTACTGCTCGTAGGTCCTGTTGTCTCAGTGCTGATTGGAGCAGTGGTGCTGGTGCTCATGGGAGAAGTTGTGCTGCTAGTCATGGGAGCAGTGGTGCTGGTGCTTGTGCTAGCAGTGGCACTAGTGCTCAAGTGAGAAGTAGGTATTGGACTCGTGGGTCCGGACATCTCAGTGCTTGTGGTAGCAGTGGCGCTGGTGCTTGTGGGAGCAGTGGTGCTGGTGCTTGTGGTTTCAGTGGTGCTGGTGCTCAAGGGAGAAGAAGGAATTGTACTCGTGGGTCCGGACGTCTGAGTGCTTGTGGTAGCAGTGGTGCTGGTAGTCACTGGAGCAGTGACGCTGGTACTCACGGGAGTAGTGGTGCTGGTGCTCGTGGGAGCAGTGGTGCTGGTGCTCGTGGGAGCAGTGGCGCTGGTGCTCATGGTTGTAGTGCTGGTGGTACTCACGGGAGCAGTGGTGCTGGTGCTCGTGGGAGAAGTGGTGCTGGTGCTCGTGGTATCAGTGGTGCTGGTGCTCACGGGAGCAGTGGTGCTGGTGCTCGTAGGTCCTGTTGTCTCAGTGCTGATTGGAGCAGTTGTGCTGGTGATTGTTGTCGCAGTGGTGCTGGTGCTCAAGGGAGCAGTGCTGATGCTGCTCGTAGGTCCTGTTGTCTCACTGCTGATTGGAGCAGTGGTGCTGGTGCTCATGGTTGTAATGTTGGTGGTACTCACGGGAGCAGTGGTGCTGCTGCTCACAGGAGCAGTGGTGCTGGTGCTCGTAGGTCCTGTTGTCTCAGTGCTGATCGGAGCAGTTGTGCTGGTGATTGTTGTCGCAGTGGCGCTGCTGCTCGTGGTTGTAGTGTAGGTGGTACTCACGGGAGCAGTGGTGCTGGTGCTCGTGGGAGCAGTGGTGCTGGTGCTCGTGGGAGCAGTGGCGCTGGTGCTCATGGTTGTAGTGTTGGTGGTACTCACGGGAGCAGTGGTGCTGGTGCTCGTAGGTCCTGTTATCTCAGTACTGATTGGAGCACTGGTGCTGGTGACCGTTGTCGCAGTGGCGCTGCTGCTCGTGGTTGTAGTGTAGGTGGTACTCACGGGAGCAGTGGTGCTGGTGCTCGTGGGAGCAGTGGTGCTGCTGCTCACGGGAGCAGTGGTGCTGGTGCTCGTAGGTCCTGTTGTCTCAGTGCTGATTGGAGCAGTTGTGCTGGTGATTGTTGTCGCAGTGGTGCTGGTGCTCAAGGGAGCCGTTACACTGGTGCTCGTGGGAGCAGTGGTGCTGGTGCTCGTGGGAGCAGTGGCGCTCGTGCTCATAAGTCCGGATGTCTCAGGGCTTGTGGTAGCAGCGGTGCTGGTGCTCAAGGGAGATGGAGTTATTGTACTCGTGAGTTCAGACGCCTCAGTGCTCGTGGTAGTAGTGGTGCTGATGCTGGTGGGAGAAGTGGTGCTGGTGCTCATGGTTGCAGGGGTGCTGGTGCTCAAGGGAGCAGTTACGCTTGTGCTTGTGGGAGCAGTGGTGCTGGTGCTCGAGGGAGAAGTAGCGCTGGTGCTCACGGGAGTAGTGGTGCTAGTTGGAGAAGTGGTGCTGGTGCTAGTGGGAGTAGTGGTGCTGCTGCTCGTGGGAGCAGTGGTGGTAGTGCTCGTAGGTCCTGTTGTCTCAGTGCTGATTGGAGCAGTGGTGCTGGTGCTCATGGGAGAAGTTGTGCTGCTAGTCATGGGAGCAGTGGGGCTGGTGCTTGTGCTAGCAGTGGCACTAGTGCTCAAGTGAGAAGTAGGTATTGGACTCGTGGGTCCGGACATCTCAGTGCTTGTGGTAGCAGTGGTGCTGGTGCTAGTGGGAGCAGTGGTGCTGGTGCTTGTGGGAGCAGTGGTGCTGGTGCTTGTGGTTGCAGTGGTGCTGGTGCTCAAGGGAGAAGTAGGAATTGTACTCGTGGGTCCGGACGTCTGAGTGCTTGTGGTAGCAGTGGTGCTGGTAGTCACTGGAGCAGTGACGCTGGTACTCACGGGAGTAGTGGTGCTGGTGCTCGTGGGAGCAGCGGTGCTGGTGCTCAAGGGAGATGGAGTTATTGTACTCGTGAGTTCAGACGCCTCAGTGCTCGTGGTAGTAGTGGTGCTGATGCTGGTGGGAGAAGTGGTGCTGGTGCTCATGGTTGCAGTGGTGCTGGTGCTCAAGGGAGCAGTTACGCTTGTGCTTGTGGGAGCAGTGTTGCTGGTGCTCACGGGAGTAGTGGTGCTGGTTGGAGAAGTGGTGCTGGTGCTCATGACAGTAGTGGCGCTACTGGTCGTGGGAGCAGTGCTGGTACTGCTCGTAGGTCCTGTTGTCTCAGTGCTGATTGGAGCAGTGGTGCTGGTGCTCATGGGAGAAGTTGTGCTGCTAGTCACGGGAGCAGTGGTGTTGGTGCTTGTGCTAGCAGTGGCGCTAGTGCTCAAGTGAGAAGTAGGTATTGGACTCGTGGGTCCGGACATCTCAGTGCTTGTCGTTGCAGTGGTGCTGGTGCTAGTGGGAGCAGTGGTACTGCTGCTCGTGGGAGAAGTAGCGCTGGTGCTCACGGGAGTAGTGGTGCTGGTTGGAGAAGTGGTGCTGGTGCTAGTGGGAGTAGTGGTGCTGCTGCTCGTGGGAGCAGTGGTGGTAGTGCTCGTAGGTCCTGTTGTCTCAGTGCTGATTGGAGCAGTGGCGCTGGTGCTCATGGTTGTAGTGTTGGTGGTACTCACGGGAGCAGTGGTGCTGGTGCTCGTGGGAGCAGTGGCGCTCGTGCTCATAAGTCCGGATGTCTCAGGGCTTGTGGTAGCAGCGGTGCTGGTGCTCAAGGGAGATGGAGTTATTGTACTCGTGAGTTCAGACGCCTCAGTGCTCGTGGTAGTAGTGGTGCTGATGCTGGTGGGAGAAGTGGTGCTGGTGCTCATGGTTGCAGTGGTGCTGGTGCTTGTGGGAGCAGTGGCGCTGGTGCTCATGGTTTTAGTGTTGGTGGTACTCATGGGAGCAGTGGTGCTGGTGCTCGTGGGAGAAGTAGCGCTGGTGCTCACGGGAGTAGTGGTGCTGGTTGGAGAAGTGGTGCTGGTGCTCATGACAGTAGTGGCGCTACTGGTCGTGGGAGCAGTGCTGGTACTGCTCGTAGGTCCTGTTGTCTCAGTGCTGATTGGAGCAGTGGTGCTGGTGCTCATGGGAGAAGTTGTGCTGCTAGTCATGGGAGCAGTGGTGCTGGTGCTTGTGCTAGCAGTGGCACTAGTGCTCAAGTGAGAAGTAGGTATTGGACTCGTGGGTCCGGACATCTCAGTGCTAGTGGGAGCAGTGGCGCTGGTGCTTGTGGGAGCAGTGGTGCTGGTGCTTGTGGTTGCAGTGGTGCTGGTGCTCAAGGGAGAAGTAGGAATTGTACTCGTGGGTCCGGACGTCTGAGTGCTTGTGGTAGCAGTGGTGCTGGTAGTCACTGGAGCAGTGACGCTGGTACTCACGGGAGCAGTGGTGCTGGTGCTCGTGGGAGCAGTGGTGCTGGTGCTCGTGGGAGCAGTGGCGCTGGTGCTCATGGTTGTAGTGTTGGTGGTACTCACGGGAGCAGTGGTGCTGGTGCTCGTGGGAGAAGTGGTGCTGGTGCTCGTGGTATCAGTGGTGCTGGTGCTCACGGGAGCAGTGGTGCTGGTGCTCGTAGGTCCTGTTGTCTCAGTGCTGATTGGAGCAGTTGTGCTGGTGATTGTTGTCGCAGTGGTGCTGGTGCTCAAGGGAGCAGTGCTGATGCTGCTCGTAGGTCCTGTTGTCTCACTGCTGATTGGAGCAGTGGTGCTGGTGCTCGTGGGAGCAGTGGCGCTGGTGCTCACGGGAGTAGTGTTGGTGGTACTAACGGGAGCAGTGGTGCTGGTGCTCGTGGGAGCAGTGGTGCTGCTGCTCACGGGAGCAGTGGTGCTGGTGCTCGTAGGTCCTCTTGTCGCAGTGCTGATTGGAGCAGTTGTGCTGGTGATTGTTGTCGCAATGGTGCTGGTGCTCGTGGGAGCAGTGGCGCTGGTGCTCATGGTTGTAGTGTTGGTGGTACTCACGGGAGCAGTGGTGCTGGTGCTCGTGGGAGAAGTGGTGCTGGTGCTCGTGGTATCAGTGGTGCTGCTGCTCACGGGAGCAGTGCTGATGCTGCTCGTAGGTCCTGTTGTCTCACTGCTGATTGGAGCAGTGGTGCTGGTGCTCGTGGGAGCAGTGGCGCTCGTGCTCATAAGTCCGGATGTCTCAGGGCTTGTGGTAGCAGCGGTGCTGGTGCTCAAGGGAGATGGAGTTATTGTACTCGTGAGTTCAGACGCCTCAGTGCTCGTGGTAGTAGTGGTGCTGATGCCGGTGGGAGAAGTGGTGCTGGTGCTCATGGTTGCAGGGGTGCTGGTGCTCAAGGGAGCAGTTACGCTTGTGCTTGTGGGAGCAGTGGTGCTGGTGCTCGAGGGAGAAGTAGCGCTGGTGCTCAAGGGAGAAGAAGGAATTGTACTCGTGGGTCCGGACGTCTGAGTGCTTGTGGTAGCAGTGGTGCTGGTAGTCACTGGAGCAGTGACGCTGGTACTCACGGGAGTAGTGGTGCTGGTTTGGGAAGTGGAGCTGGTGCTCATGACAGTAGTGGCGCTACTGGTCGTGGGAGCAGTGCTGGTACTGCTCGTAGGTCCTGTTGTCTCAGTGCTGATTGGAGCAGTGGTGCTGGTGCTCATGGGAGAAGTTGTGCTGCTAGTCATGGGAGCAGTGGGGCTGGTGCTTGTGCTAGCAGTGGCACTAGTGCTCAAGTGAGAAGTAGGTATTGGACTCTTGGGTCCGGACATCTCAGTGCTTGTGGTAGCAGTGGTGCTGGTGCTAGTGGGAGCAGTGGCACTGGTGCTTGTGGGAGCAGTGGTGCTGGTGCTTGTGGTTGCAGTGGTGCTGGTGCTCAAGGGAGAAGAAGGAATTGTACTCGTGGGTCCGGACGTCTGAGTGCTTGTGGTAGCAGTGGTGCTGGTAGTCACTGGAGCAGTGATGCTGGTACTCACGGGAGCAGTGGTGCTGGTGCTCGTGGGAGCAGTGGTGCTGGTGGTCGTGGGAGCAGTGGCGCTGGTGCTCATGGTTGTAGTGTTGGTGGTACTCACGGGAGCAGTGGTGCTGGTGCTCGTGGGAGAAGTGGTGCTGGTGCTCGTGGTATCAGTGGTGCTGGTGCTCACGGGAGCAGTGGTGCTGGTGCTCGTAGGTCCTGTTGTCTCAGTGCTGATTGGAGCAGTTGTGCTGGTGATTGTTGTCGCAGTGGTGCTGGTGCTCAAGGGAGCAGTGCTGATGCTGCTCGTAGGTGCTGTTGTCTCACTGCTGATTGGAGCAGTGGTGCTGGTGCTCAAGGGAGCAGTTACGCTTGTGCTTGTGGGAGCAGTGGTGCTGGTGCTCGTGGGAGAAGTAGCGCTGGTGCTCACAGGAGTAGTGGTGCTGGTTGGAGAAGTGGTGCTGGTGCTCATGACAGTAGTGGCGCTACTGGTCGTGGGAGCAGTGCTGGTACTGCTCGTACGTCCTGTTGTCTCAGTGCTGATTGGAGCAGTGGTGCTGCTGCTCACGGGAGCAGTATTGCTGGTGCTCATGGTTGTAGTGTTGGTGGTACTCATGGGAGCAGTGGTGCTGGTGGTCACTGTAGTGGTGGTGCTAGTGCTCGTGCATCCGGTTGTCTTAGTGCTTATGTCAGCAGTTTCGCTGGTGTTTTCGCAATCATTTTTAGTAATCCTTGCAACAATACTTTTTTCTGTGCTCTCAGTGGTGGTGTTGCTCGCACTCATGTGTCCATTTGCGCTGGTGCTCATGCCTGTGGTTGTTCTGCTGTTTGTGGGTCCATCGTTGCTGCTGGTCATGGGCTGTATGGAGCGGGTGGTGCTGGTGCTCATCGGTGAGGTGGGTCCTGTGTCCGTTGGCCCAGTGTTGCTAGTGATTGTTAGCCCACTGTTGTCTCTACTTTTGGGGCTACTGCTGGTAGTGCTTCTGTGCGCCACAGCGGTAATGCTCATGGTCCCCCTGTTACTTGTGCTCATCAAACTACTGCTGATGATTCTCGAGGTAGTAAGTGAGGACGTGGTTGAGGCCGTGATTGAAGTTGTTGGACTTGAGGTAGTGACAGAGGATGCGGAAGCTGATGCAGTTGTCGAGGGGGTTGGATTTGAGGCAGTTGTGGAAATGGTCGGGGTCGAGTCGGCTGTGGAGTAGGACTTTCTTGAGGCAGCTGCAGAGGAGTTCGGGCTCAGGGCAGTGTCCGAGGTGGTCAGGTTTGAGGGGTATGCGGAGGTTTGATTCAAGGTTCTTCCATCAGGTATCTGGCTTGAGGAATTTATTGGGGCTGAGGTGGTTGTGGAGAAGGTCGGGCTCAAGGCATTTTTGGGGGTGAAGTTCGAGGCTGTTAGAGATGAGGGGCGGCTTAAGGCAGAGGTGCTGGACTTGGTGGTGTAGGCAGAAGTCTTGGAGGTCAAGGTCGTGTTTGTTGTTGTTGTTGTTGTGCTCGTGGTGCCTGCGGACACAGTGTTTTGCTCAGCCACGTGTCCTCCCTTGCAGTCACAGTTCGTTGGAACTGTTTAATAACATTCCCCGTCCCTTCCCTTCTCTAGAAGCCTCGTTATCACTCCTTTATCTCCTGATTATGGAGTCCTGTGATCCATTCCCCTCCCCATGCCATCTCGCGCCCGCTTTTCCGCTTTGTGTCCTTCAGCCTCTCCTGTGTCCTTGCCCCCACCCCTCTCCCACCCTTTTCCTCAGCTCTCACTTTCAGCCCACGCCTTCCTCGTGCCTGATTGCACATCCCTCACGTGTGCACGCCGGATCAGGGCAAGGTCACACGTGTGCAAGGACACGTGTGCAACGCTGGAGCCTCGCACGGGGACGAGGCTGGCCAGGAGCATCAATTTTGGGCCTCCGCTCCCCCTTGTCACGGCTGTCATCCTGCACCGAGGAGCCGTGGGGTGTCCCCATCCCTGTCACTCTCCGGAGTCCCATCCCTGTCAATGTCCGTGTCCCCATCCCTGTCCCCGTCCCCGTCCCCATCCCTGCCTCTGTCTCCGTTCCTGTCCTCATTCCCATCCCTGTCTCCATCGTTGCCCTGTTCCCATTCCCGTTCCCCTCCCTGTCTCCATCCCTGTCCCCACATCCCTGTCCCCACATCCCTGTCCCCGTCCCTGTCCCTCTCTGGGGTCCCATCCCTGTCAATGTCCGTGTCCCCATCCCTGTCCCTGTCCCCGTTCCTGTCCTCATTCCTATCCCTGTCTCCATCGTTGCCCCGTTCCCATTCCCGTTCCCCTCCCTGTCCCCATCCCTGTCCCTCTCTGGGGTCCCATCCCTGTCAATGTCCGTGTCCCCGTCCCTGTCCCTGTCCCCATCCCTGCCTCTGTCCCCGTTCCTGTCCTCATTCCCATCCCTGTCTCCATCGTTGCCCCGTTCCCATTCCTGTTCCCCTCCCTGTCTCCATCCCTGTCTCCATCCCTGTCCCCATCCCTGTCCCCATCCCTGTCCCCATCCCTGTCCCCACATCCCTGTCCCCATCCCTGTCAATGTCCGTGTCCCCATCCCTGCCTGTGTCCCCGTTCCTGTCCTCATTCCCATCCCTATCCTCATCCTTGCCCCAATCCCATCCCTGTCCCCATCCCTGTCCCCATCCTTGTCTCTATCTCCATCCCCAATGTCCCCATCCCCATCCCCAGTGTCTCCATCCCCAGTGTCTCCATCCCCAGTGTCCCCATCCCCAACCAGCACGGTGCCACCTCGGGCCTTGGAGGCCAATTCCCCCCGAACCTCCCCAACGCACCCCCGAGCACCCCAAGGAGATGCCCTAGGAAATTCCCCCCCTCCTGCCCCCCACATTTGCATTTCGGTGCCCCCCCAGCCGGGCTCCACTCACCCGCCACATCCCTGCAGAGGAGGAGGAAGAGGAGGACGAAGAGGAGGAGGAAGGCCCAGGTGCAAACCCCCATCTTGGTGCCCCCCAGCCCTGAGGTGCTGCTAGCAGCATCCCAGTGCAGAGGTATGCCAGGGGCATCAGTGGCGGTGGGGAACTTTGCCCCTCTGCGGGGAGGAGCCACGCGTCCCCGCCTGGGGCTGCCCCGGGGAGGGCGGTTCTTGGGGGCGTGCAGCCGTGCCCAGACCCCTCATGGGCACCACGACCCCCGAGCAGACCCCCCACACCCTCCCCGTTATCACCACCATCACCACCACCACCACCACCCCGGGGGGCACGGCGGCGTCACGGGGAGGGGGCGTTCGCCCCATTCAAGGTGAATCTGACCCAAACTGGGGAGCAGGGGCTGTGGGGTCTGGTGGCCCACGGTGCTGGTGGGGGACCCCCCCAAGGAGGACCCAGCTGGACCCCAGAGGCTGCAGCCCCCAGGGGGCTGGGATTAGGCAGTTCCCATTTCCACCCCCGTGTATCTGGCATGGGGCCACGGGAAGGTGCGGCCGCGCCAGGCGGGGTGGCACCAGCAAGAATATTTATTGCCTTTTGGGATGGGCACATGCAAAACCAGGCGTCCCCCCCTCTCCGAGCCGGGCTCTGCAAACAGAGGCGTTTCCTCTTCATCAATGAGTAAACAAACGCGCCCCAGACCCGCCAAGCCCACTAGCAGTCACGTCTACACCGTCCTGGCCAGCTTCCAGCTGTGTTGGAATTCTCCCAGATCAATTCTAGCCTTGGATGGGTCTTTACAGATTAATTCCAACCATGTTTGGGTCTTGTGAGATTGTTTATAGCCTTGGCTGGGTCTTTATAGATTAATTCTAACCATGTTTGGGTCTTCTGAGATCATTTCCAGCCTTGGCTGGGTCTTTCAAGATCGATTCCAACCATGGCTGGGTTTACTGAGATCATTTTCAGCCTTGGCTGGGTCTTTCCAGATTAATTCTAACCATGTTTGGGTCTTCCGAGATCATTTCCAGCCTTGGCTGGGTCTTTCAAGATCGATTCCAACCATGGCTGGGTTTACTGAGATCATTTTCAGCCTTGGCTGGGTCTTTCCAGATTAATTCTAACCACGTTTGGGTCTTCTGAGATTGTTTATAGCCTTGGCTGGGTCTTTCCAGGTTAATTCTAGCCATGTTTAGATCTTCTGAGATCGTTTTCAGCCCCGGCTGGGTCTTTCCAAATCGATTCCAACCCTGGTTGGGTCTTCCCAGCTCAATTCCAGCCCCGGTTGGGTCTTCCCAGCTCAATTCCAGCCCTTCCAACCATGACCCAAGCCCCCAGCCCAAGCACGCCCTTGGCTGTGCTCTCCCAACCCCAGCTGCCCACATTATTTTTCAGAAGACAACAAAAATACGTTAATAAATATAATTAAATATATTTCCACAGGGACGAGGCTCATCCTGCTCTGGCCCAGGCGAAGCTTCGCAAGCAAGGATGGGAACTTGGTGCTATTGTGTCCTCTCCAGCGAGGGGTCCCCAAGGCCATGGGAGACCCCTCTTCTCTCACAGAAGAACCAGATCCAGCCTGTTTTTGCCCCAAAAATGAGAAATGCTGAGAGCAGGATGTTTTCCCACACGGCGAGGTCAGCGGTCGCTGCCACCCAAGCCGAGGGTCCTGTGTGGCGGGCGATGGAGGGCATCGAGGTGGTCTTGGCCCCTCCTCAAGCTGGTTTTGGGGGCCACTTCGCAGCTCACAGGGACACCACACCTTCTGCTTGCCCCTGTGAAGAGAGAAGGAGCATTGAGGCCAGCTCCAGGGTGACCCGGAGAAGTCGTGGAGGCCCCGTTGCAAATCTTCAAGACCAGGTTTGGCTTTGGGGCTTCAAGGAACCCGATGTGGTGTGAGACATCCCTGGATGGCTTGGACTGGGTGAGCTTCAAGGCTTCCTTCCATCCCGTCCCAACTCATTCCATCCCAACTCGTCCCGTCCCAACTCGTCCAGTCATTGCGTCCCATCCCATCCCAACTCGTCCCATCCCATCCCAACTCATCCCGTCCCAACTCATCCAGTCATTGCGTCTCATCCCATCCCAACTCATCCTGTCCCAATTCGTCCCATCCCAACTCATCCAGTCATTGCGTCTCGTCCCATCCCATCCCATCCCATCCCAACTCATCCCACCCCAAGGCTCTACCACAGCCACCATCTTGGGCACCCACCAGCGCAGGAGGGTCCGCCACCTCCGCGTTGGTCCTATAGGAGCTGTGTGCGTAGGGACCTGGATGGGGAGAAGACTCCAGTGAGGTTCCATCAAGGGTGAGGGGCTTCTCCCCGTGAAGGGTCTGGGTTTGCCCCCACCGGGTCTCACCTTGACGTGGCGTCGAGCCTCTGCCGTTGACGTGGTAGATGCCGGTGGCACGAGCGTTGCGCTTGCCTTCTGGCCAGCTGTTGTCCTCGCTGTGGAGCAAGGCCATGGGGTGGGATGGGGCTGAACCCTCCCACCCCATGGGGAAAAGCTGCCCCCTCCCCCAAACTGAGGCCAAGGGGCGCTTCTGAGGCTGTTGGACCTCCTCTCTGGACCACCCCTGGGTGCCCGCCCTGCTCCCCTCACCTGGTGCTGGGCGTTTTTCTCTTCCCCTGGGCCAAGCAGATGGAGAGGACGATGGAGAGGATGAGGAGGATGAGGAGGGTCAGCCCCAGCCCCAGCCCCACGCCCAGCCCCAGCCCCAGTTTGCTGATGTGGGTCTGGCAGCGGTCACCGGAGGAGAGGAACCAGGGCACGTCAGGGCAGCTGTGGGAGAAGACATGGCATGGGAAGGGTCCTGGACACCTGGATCCGGCCCCGGGTGGTCTTCGGGGGTCAGGATCCTTCAGGAGTCCCGCTGGGTTCCCAGGATCCTTCCCAGAGGTGGGGAGAAGAAGCCAGCCCCATGTCCGTGGGTTGGGGTCAAGGATTGGGGTTTGGGGGTCAAGGATTGGGGTTTTGGAGGATAAGGAATGGGTTTTGGGGTCAAAAGTTGGGATTTGGAAGTCAAGGGTTGGGTGTGGAGGGCCAGAATTGGGTTTGGGGGACAGAAGTTGGGATTTGTAGAGCAAGGGTTGGGTTTTGGGGGACAAAGATTGGATTTTGGGGGGTTAGAAGTTGGGATCTGAAGATTAGTGATTGGATTTTGGAGGGCAAGGGTTGGGGTTTGGGGTTGAAAAGCTGGAATTTGGGTTCAAGGATTGGGGATGGGGTTTGTAGCATGGATAGGGCTTGGGGTGGAGGTAAGGGTTGGGTCCCAACGCTGCGACCAGAACCAGATTTGGGTTGGGACGGGGCTGGGTTCAACACCAGACCCTGGCTATCGGACAGCGTTGGGCAGCTTGGGACCGACAGGTGGGGCAAAATCTGGGGCGAAAGACCAAGATTTGGGGGCAAGGTCGGGCGGGCAGCGCTCACAAGCAGCGGGGCCCGTCCAGCGTCACCCGGCACAGCCCGGTGCCACAGTCGATGGTGCCGGGGACGTTGAGGGTGCAGTTGGTGACGCAGAGGAGGCTGTTCTTCGTCCAGTAGGGATAGTAGAACTGGCTGAAGTTGGCCGGCGAGTACTTGCGGCAGAGCTCTGCAGGGGGACGGTGACACCGATCAGACCCCGTCCCCATCCCGCTCCCCACCACCGCCCCCCTGCCCGCGCTCACCGGTGGCGTTGAGCTCCGGCGTGGCGGCGAAAGCCCTCCGGGAGGCGACCGCGCCGAAGCAGAGCCCTTCTGTAAGGGATTGGGGGGTCACCACAGCCACCCCTTGGTGCAAGAAATGGGGTGAGGGGGCCCGACCCTACGCCCCCCAGCACCCACCCGCTCCCTCGGTGCAGTTTTGGGGTTGGATGGCGGCGTTGGAGGCCTCCAGCAGCTCCCGAGTCCTCTGGCTGAGGCTGGCGTTGGCTTGGTCCCCGGCTGGAGGCTGCAGCAGGACTTTGTAGTTCACCACCACGCTGCCTGCCCTGGGGGGCACGAAGGGTGGGGGGTGAGGGACACGGGGGGGTGCTCCTCGTCCGTTCCCATCCCCGTGCTCTTCATCCCTTTCTTCATCCCCTTCTTCATCCCCTACTTCAGGCCCTTCATCATCGCCAGGCCCTTCTTCATCCCCATCCCATTCTTCATCCCCAACCTCATCTTCATCCCCATGTCCTTCTTTATCCCCACCTTCCTCCTCAGCCTCATCTTCATCCCCAGGCCCTTCTTCATCCCCGTGTTGCCCTTCTTCATCCTCACGCCCTTAATCTCCATCTTCATCCCTGTCCCCAACCTCATCTTCATCCCAAGTCCTTCTTCACCCCCATCCCTATCTTCATCTTCATCCCCATCTTCAGGCCCTTCTTCATCCTCATCCCATTCTTCATCCCCAGCCTCATCTTCATCCCCACGTCCTTCTTTATCCCCACCTTCCTCCTCAGCCTCATCTTCATCCCCATGCCCTTCATCGCCATCTTCATCCCTGTCCCCAACCTCATCTTCATCCCAAGTCCTCCACCCCCATCCCTATCTTCATCCCCATCCCCATGCCCTTCATCCCCATCTTCCTCCCCATCCCATCCCGTCCCGTCCCGTCCTCGCCTTGGCCACAAACTCACGTCAGAGCCAGCACCCGGGTGCCGCGGTAGCCGGAGACGTTCCGGTAGACGCGATCCATCTGGGGAGGGGGAGACACGTTGTCACCCGTCGTGACACGGGGCTGCCGTGGTGACACCGTCGCGGTGCCGGGACACTCACCGTGCGGCTGAACTCATCGGCGAAGCTGCGGAAGGCGGCGGACGAGGGGTCCCCCATGTCCCCGGAGAAGCGGCGGTTGGTGACGCGCGCCATCAGCGCCACGCTGGGACCCAGCTCTTGGGGAGGAAGAGGAGGAGGAAGAGGAGGAGGAAGAAGAAGAGGTTGGTGAGGTCCCACAGCGCGTCCCCAAGGTTAGGGGGGACAACGGGGACATCCCCATCCTGCCTTACCCGCTGTGATGTTGATGGTTGAGGCCCCAAACTGGCAGTGGGCTCCGTCCACGTTGGGGGGACACAGGCAAACGGTCCCGGTCCAGTGCCCACCATTCAGACAGGGGTCTGTGGGGAGAGGGGGGGGCGTGAGTACTCCCCCTGCACCCCCCTTTCCCACGGCCACCTCCCACCCGGCACAGTTGATGGGGTTGGAATGGCAAGAAAAGGCAACGCCAACGGCGTTGGGCTTGGAGCGGCCTCCGTCGAGGTCCACGGTGCCACCGACCTCCACGGGGGGGCCTCCAAATCTCCTAGGGGAGCCCCGGGGAGCCGAAGGGCCACCAACCTGCGGTGGTAGGGACGGTGGTGGTGGTGGTGGTGGTCCTCCTGGTGCTCCTCGGCGTGGCCTTGGTGGTAGGGCGAGCGGTGGTCGTGGTCGCGGCGGTGGTCGCGGCGGTGGTCGCGGCGGCGGTGGTGGCACCTTGCCTCTCGCACCGGGGCCCTTCGAAGCCCGGGGGGCAATAGCACTCGGTGCCCACGGCCGTGCCCCCGTGCTGGCAGGCGGTGGCCTCGTCGCGGACTTCGCAGCGGCGTCCCGACAGCCCCGGGGGGCAGAGGCAGCGGTCGCCCACGGCGGTGCTGCCGTTGGCGCAGCGGGCGCCGGGGTCCGGCCTCTCGCAGGTGAGGCCGCTGAAGCCGGGCGGGCAGAGGCACTCGGTGCGGTTGGCCACGCCGCCGTTGAGGCAGGAGACTGCGAAGGGGAGGCCGGGTGGGCGACCTCCTCCTCCTCCTCATCTTCATCCCCTCCAGGAGGTGACCTCCCCCCCCACCTCCTCTTCCTCCTCCTCCTCCTCCTCCCCACTTTTCCCCTCCCCGCTCTTGGAAGCCCCCAGGGGTGCCCGGTGGGTGGCCTCCATCCGGCCTCCCTCCCCAGGGGGCCCCCACCCAGGGACACCCCATTCCGTCCCCTCCTCCTCCTCCTCCGTCCGCCCCGCAAGACCCCAGGTTCCTCCTGACCAAGGGCAGGAGACCCCAACCCACCCCAAGGAGACCCCCCTTCCTCCCCCCGAGCCCCAACCACAGGGTGCTGCACCCACTTCCATCCTCTCCTCTTTCTTCCTCCCGTTAAGGAGATCCCAACACCCCAAGGACCCCAAAACCCAAAGAACCCCACACCCCAAGGACCTCCCACCCCAAGGACCCCAAAACCCCAAAGACTCTCCTGACCCCAAGGACCTCCCATCCCAAGGACCCAATGCCCCAAGAACCCCCACCCCAAGGACCCCAAAACCCCAAGGACCCAATGCCCCAAGGACCCAATGCCCCAAGGACCCCAACCCCAAAGACCTTCCCCACCCCAAGTACCCCCACCCCAAAGACGCCAACACCCCAAGGGTCCAACACCCCAAGAAACCCCCACCCCAAGGGCCCCAACACCCCAAGGACCCAATGTCCCAAGGACCCTCCCCACTCCAAGGACTCCCCAACCCCAAAGCCCTTCCCCACCCCAAGGACCCCAACACCCCAAGGACCCCCACCCCATGACACCCACTGGCTGGAGGGCTGGACCCGTGCGGCAGGAAGAGGCAGATCATGGCCGTGACGGCGCTGTTGGTGACAGCGGTGACACCGGTGGTGCTGGGATGGGGCGGGGGTGTCCCCGTGGTGGCCGTCATGTTGGTGGGGGCGGTCGGGGGGGTGACGGTGCTTTTGGGGGGGGTCGTGAGCGTTGCGTTGACTTCCCCACGCGTCGTTGCGTTGCTTTCCAAGGGCATTGGCTCCGTGGTTTCACTTTCTGGGGGGGCCGTGAGCGTCGTGTTGCTTTCTGGGGGGGCCAGAACCGTGACATCGCTTCCCGGGGGGGACACGAGTGTTGTGTTTCTCCCTGGGGGGGTCACAAGCGTTGCGTTGACTTCCCCGTGTGTTGGCAGCGCGGTCGTTGCGTTGCTTTCCAAGGGCGTTGGCACCGTGGTTTCGCTTTCAGGGGGGGCCAGAAGCGTGGTGTTGCCTCCTGGGGGGGTCACGAGTGTCGTGTTGCTTTCTGGGGCGTCCACGACTGTGACATTACTTTCGGGGGGGGGCAGGAGCGTTGTATTCCTTGCTGGGGGGGTCAGGAGCGTTGTGTTGACTTCCCCACGCATTGTTGTATTGTTTTCCAAGGTCGTTGGCTCCGTGGTTTCGCTTTCAGGGGGGGCCGTGAGCGTCGTGTTGCTTTCAGGGGGGGCCGTTACCGTTGTGTTGCTTTCGGGGGGGGGCAGGAGCATTGTATTCCTTGCTGGGGGGGTCACGAGCGTTGTGTTGACTTCTCCACGCGTCGTTGCGTTGCTTTCCAAGGTTGTTGGCTCCGTGGTTTCACTTTCTGGGGGGGCCGTGAGCGTCGTGTTGCTTCCCGGGGGGGTCACAAGTGTGATGTTGCTTCCCGGGGGGGCCGTGGATGTCATGTTGCTTCCCGGGGGGGTCCCGAGCGTTGCGTTGACTCCCCCCCCTCTTGGCGTTGTGGTCGCGCCGTCACTTTCCCGGCGCATCATCGCCGTCCCGTCACTCACCGGGGGGGTCGCGAGGGTGGCGTTTCCCCCGGGGGGGGCTGTGACCGGGGTCTCCCTTCCCCCTAACGTCCCCCCCACCACTGTCACCGTCACCCCCCTCATCTCATCCGTGGTGGCGGTGGCACTGAAACACTCGCAGCGGGGCCCCCACGTCCCCGGGGGGCATCGGCAGGCGCCCCCCCCCAGGGTCCCCCCGTTGAGGCAAGAGGTGGGGGGCTCGGGGAACTGGCACCTGGCCCCCCCAAAACCGGGGGGGCAGACGCAGGAGGTCCCAAAGGCCGTGCCCCCGTTGCGGCAGGCGCCCGAGGGGTCAGGGAGCTCGCAGAGGGGCCCCCCCAAGCCGGGGGGGCACAGGCACTTGGTGCCCACCGGGGTGCCCCCCCCGCGGCAGGCCCTGGTGGGCTCGGGGGTCTCGCAGCGGGTGCCGTTGAAGCCGGGGGGGCAGGCGCAGGACTCCCCCACCGCCGTGCCGCCGTTCTGGCAGGGGGCTGTAAGAGGGGGGGGGGCGGCGTGTGAGACCCCCGGGGGGGGCATAGAGCGGCTGTGAACCCCCCCCCCAAATGCACCTCAGAGGGTGGGGACCCCCCCCCTTAAATCTGGCTGGGACCCCCCCACCTAAGGGATACCCTAAATGAGGAACCCCTTTAGCCAGGACCCCCCCTTACCCATAAATACCCCTTACCCCAAAGACCCCCCCCTTACCCCAAAGACCCCCCCCCTTAATGTAAACCTCCCCCCCTACCCCAAAGAGCCCCCCTTACCCTAAAGACCCCCCCCTTTCCCAAGAATCCCCCTACCCAATGACCCCCTTACCCAAAGACCCCCCCCACCCAAGAATCCCCTTTACCCAGGACCCCCCCTTACCCGAAACTCCCTTACCCAAGACCCCCCCCTTACCCAAAGACCCCCCCTTACCCAAAAATCCCCATTACCTAAGCCCCCCCCCCAAATACCCCTCTTACCCCAAATCCCCTTACCCTCAAATCCCCTTACCCCAAAATCCCCTTACCCCAAAATCCCCTTACCCCAAGACCCCCCCAAACACCCCCTTACCCCAAATTCCCTTACTCACCCCCCCCTTATCCAAAGACCCCCCCCAAAATTTCCCACCCCCCAACCCCCCCCAGCGCCCCCCACTCACCCGAGGGCTCCACAACGGGGACGAAGAGGAAGAGGAGGGGGAGGAAGAGGAGGCAGCGGAGCAGCATCGTGCCGGGGGGGGGCCCTTCGCCTGCCGTCGCCGCCGGGGGGGGGCTGCGTCTCGCCCCCCCTTTTATCGGGGAGCCCAGGGGTGGGCGGGGGCCGGCCCCGATAAGATTGGGGCGAGAGGCGGCGCCTCCCGGGGCGGTGCCCCCCCCACACGCCTTGGCCCCAAATCTGACCCCCCCCATTACGTGTCCCCATCCCCCCCCCCGTGGCTGTTGAGTCACCGGGGAGGGGGGCGGGAGGGTTTCGTGAGTGGCCCGGTCCCCCCCCCCCCAAAAAAAAAGTCCCTGTACCCCCCCAAAAAAAGTCCTTGCCCCCCCCCCAAAAAAGTTCCTTGTGCCCCCCAAAAGTCCCTGTCCCCCCCCCAGAATGTCCCTGTCCCTCCAAAAAAGCCCCCCTCCCCCGTAAAAAATGATCCTGCCCCCCCCCTCCATCTCCTCGGGGTATCCCAGTGTGCCCCAGTACAACCCAGTACATGCCCCCCCCAGGACTGAGCCACAGGGGTTGCCTCCCGCCCCCCCCCCGAGTTACTGGGGACCCCCCCCAACCTGCTTTCCCCCCCCCAAAATTCCCAAAGACCCCAAATTCCCAAGAACCCCCCCCAAATTTGGTACACCCCCCACCTTCTTCCCCTCCCCTCAAGGTGCTGGGACCCCTAAATAATCCCCCCCTCCCAAATATTCCCCCCCCCCCCAAATTTCTCCCCCCCCTATTTTGGGTGTGCTCTGATTTAGGGCCAAGGACCCACCCCCGATTAACGGAGCCAATTAGCCAGGACTAACGAGAGCAATTAATTTATTACAGGCTGGGGGGGGCAAATAAATAATAAATAGAGGGAGGGGAGCGGGGAGGGGGGGGCCCTGGGCACGGCCCGCGTGCCAGGGGCCCAGCCCGTGGCGGGGGGGGGGGGCAGAGCCGTGGGGGGGGTCTCCGCGCTGTGGAGGGGTCCTCACGGCGGGGGTCTCAGCGAGGGTCTGGCGATGTGCATCTGGGGGGGGGAAATAAAGGAGGGGAGGGGGTTAGAGGGGTCTGGGGGGGGGGTCTGAGGGGTGGGGGGGTCGGGTCTGGAAGGGGGGGGGCACCCACCGGGATGTCGGTGTTCACAACGTCCAGCGAGGGCGTGAAGCTCCGTACGCTGCCGCCTGTTGAGGATATTGGGGGGGGCGGGGGGGTGAGCAGCTGTGGACCCCCCCCCCCCACAGATGCTGACCCCCCCCCCATCCTCCCCAGAGCCCCCCCGACCTGTGTTGGCGCCGTTGTTGATGAAGAGGAAGCCGTCGGGTGACGTCCAGGTGCAGCCGTCTTCCTCGTACCAGCTGTCCCCAGCGCTGGACGCAGCGTTCCTGGGGGGCAGCGCCAGGGGGCTCAGAGGGGGGCGGAGGGATGGGGGGAGGGGGCTGTGCCCCCCCACCCCCCCCCCAGCATGCCCAGGTGTCCACCACCAACCCCACACCGAAGCAGAAGACCCCAAGGGTACGTACCCACCACACAAGATGCTTTGAGGCAAAGACCCCCAACTCAACCCAACTTAACCCAATTCAACCCAATTCAACCCAACTTAACCCAATCCAACCCAATCCAACCCAATTCAACCCAACTTAACCCAACTTAACCCAATTCAACCCAACTTAACCCAATCCAACCCAATTCAACCCAACTTAACCCAATTCAACCCAATTCAACCCAACTTAACCCAATCCAACCCAATTCAACCCAACTTAACCCAATCCAACCCAATCCAACCCAATTCAACCCAACTTAACCCAATTCAACCCAACTTAACCCAATCCAACCCAATCCAACCCAATTCAACCCAACTTAACCCAACTTAACCCAATCCAACCCAATTCAACCCAACTCAACTCAACTTAACCCAATCCAACCCAACTTAACCCAATCCAACCCAATTCAACCCAACTCAACCCAACTTAACCCAATCCAACCCAATTCAACCCAACTTAACCCAACTTAACCCAATCCAACCCAATTCAACCCAACTCAACTCAACTAAACTCAACCCAACCCAATTGACCTGACCCAACTCAATTCAACCCAACTCAACCCAACCCAACCCAACTCAACTCAACCCAACCCAACCCAATTGACCTGACCCAACTCAACTCAACCCAACTCAACTCAACCAATCCAACCAACCCAACTCAACCCAACTTAACCCAACCCAATTCAGCCCAACTCAACTCAACCAAGCCCAACCCAGCTGTCCTGATCCAACCCAACCCAACCCAACTGTCCTGACTCAACTCAACCCAATGAACCCAACCCGACGTGACCCCTCTGCCTACTCAACCCAACCAACTGAACCATCCCAACCAAAATCAACCCAACCCAACCAACCCACCCTGACCCAACTCAACCCAACCAAACCCAACACGACCCCATCCCAAATCAACCAACCCAACCATCCCAACCCTAGCTACCCAACCACCCTCAACTCAACCCAACGTGACCCAATCAGAAATCAATGAACCAAACCATTCCAACCCAACTCAATCTAACCCAACTTGACCCAACAGAACCCACTCAACCCAACTCAACCTGACCCCAACTCAGCGAACCATCCCAACCTAACCCAACCCAACAATTCCTGCCCCTCTACCTTTTCCTCCTCTTCGCCAGCAGCACGATAAAGACGATGCAGGCGATGAGCAGCACCGCGATCACCACCCCCAGCCCGGTGGCCACCTTGCTGATGCGCCCGGAGCACCGGCTGTCCGTGTACCAGTAGAGCGACTCATCCCAGCAGCTATGGGGACAAGGAAAGGTCAGACCCAGTGGTCCCACGGGGCCGGGGGGGCCCACAGGGGGACGCGTGGTGGCACTCACAAGCACTGTGGCCCGGCACGGGTGACGTGGCACAGGCCGTGGTTGCAGTTGATGGTGCCGGGCGTGTTGGCTGTGCAGTTGGTGACGCAGCGGAGGATGTTGCTCACGTTCATCGCGTAGTAGTAGTCCTGGTAGGCGATGGGGGCCAGCTGCTGGCACAGTGCTGAGGAGGGGGCACAGGAGGGGGTCAAATGGGGTGGTGGGGTGCGTAGGGGCTGGTGGGGTGCATGGGGGGCTCAGGGGGCATGTAGGTGGCAGGTGGGACTTATGGGGGTGGGTGGGGTGCCTTGATGGTGGTGGGCTTTATAGGGGGCTAGTGGGGCTTGTAGCGGACTGGTGGGGGCTCATGTAGGGTGGTGGGCTTTATGGGCGGCTGGTGGGGCTCATAAGGGGCTGGTGGGGTTCATGGGGGTCTTTTGGGCTTCATGGGGCTCATTGGGGTCTCTTGGGGATCTTTGGGGTTGAGTAGGGTGCGTAGGGTCTGGTGGGCTTCATGGGGGTCTTTTGGGGGCTCATGGGGCTTGTGAAGCTCATAGGGGCTGGTGGGCTTCAAGGGGGTCTCATGGGGTGCGTAGGGGATGGCGGGCTGCATAGGAGACTCGGGGGGTGCATGGGGGTCCATTGGGGCACCCCGGCCTCACCATCAAGCGTAGGGGACTCCGTCATGTTCTTGACGACGGGGCTTTCCGACACCACAAGGCAGACGACGGCTGTGGGGGGAGAGAAGCTGTCAGGGACCCTTCTTCAGGGCCTCCCTTGGGGGTCGGGGGGCGAGGGGGGAGGACGGGGCACCCACAGGTGTCGTGCGTGCAGTTGCCCTGGCTTTGAGCAGTCTCCTTAAGCTTCTGCACCAGCTCCTCCGTCTTGTTCTGGAACTCCTCGCTCAGGTCGGGGCTGGCAACGGTGCTGAAGATGACCTCGTGGTCCACCTCGAGGCCGGTGCCCTCGGGGAGGGTCACGGAGGCTCTGCGCACCCGGGCTCCCCCCTTCCTGGAAGCCGCGGGCCTGATGCTGAGGATCTTCACGCCCTGGTAGCCGGGCACGGAGCCGTAGATCTTGGCCATCTGCCAGGGTGAGGGGTGCCGTGAGGACGGGTCTGGTGTGGCCCGGCCTCCCCTTGCCCAACCCGGCCTCTCCTCATGCTCCCGGCCTCCCTTTATGCTCCCGGCCTCCCTTCACGCTCCCGGCCTCCCCTCGTGCTCCCCGGGCCTCACCTCCTGCCGGAAATGCTTGGCGAATTTCTCGTAGGCCTCCGAGCGGGGGTCGTTCAGCTCCTCCGTGTAGTTGAAGTTGGTGACGGTCACCACCAGCTCCACGTTGGCCACGATCGTCCCCTCCTCGACGGCTGCGGGAGGCAGGTGAGGGGTGAGCGCGGGGAGGCCGGGGGGAGGCCACGGGCTGGGGGGGGGGGGGGCACACTTACGGATGTCGGTGGGGATGGAGGCGGTGGAGTACTCGCACAATGGGCCGTAGAAGTCCAAGAGGCAGATGCACTTGTTATCATAGTAGGTGCCTCCATTCTGGCAGACCACTGCGGGGAGAGCGGAGGTCAGGGGGGGCCTCAGGGGGCACCCAGGGGTGGGGGTCCCGCGAGGAGAGCCCGGGGGGAGAGCGGAGGTTGGGGAGGGCCTCGAGGGGCACCCAGGGGTGGGGGTCCCGCGAGGAGAGCCCGGGGGGAGAGCGGAGGTTGGGGAGGGCCTCGAGGGGCACCCAGGGGTGGGGGTCCCGCGAGGGGAGCCCGGGGGCAGAGCGGAGGTTGGGGAGGGCCTCGGGGGGCACCCAGGGGTGGGGGTCCCATGAGGAGAGCCCGGGGAAAAGGGGAAGAATTGGAGGCATGGAAGGAAGGATGGAGGAGGAAGGAAGGCGAGAGGAGGGAGGACGGGGGAGAGGTGGAGGCTGACCTGCAGGAGCGGTGGTGGTGATGGTGGTGGTCACTGGAGCTGTACTGGTGGTTACTGGTACTGTACTGGTGGTCACTGGAGCTGTACTGGTGGTGACTGGAGCTGTACTGGTGGTGACTGGAGCTGTACTGGTGGTCACTGGAGCTGTACTGGTGGTCACTGGAGCTGTACTCGTGGTGACTGGAACTGTACTGGTGGTGACTGGAGCTGTAATGGTGGTTACTGGTTCCGTACTGGTGGTGACTGGAGCTGTACTGGTCGTTACTGGAGCTACACTGGTGGTGACTGGAGCTGTACTGGTGGTTACTGGAGCTGTACTGGTGGTTACTGGTTCCGTACTGGTGGTCACTGGAGCTGTACTGGTGGTGACTGCTTCCGTACTGGTGGTAACCGGAGATGTACTGGTGGTAACTGGAGCTGTACTGGTGGTCATTGGTTCTGTACTGGTGGTGACCGGAGCTGTACTGGTGGTGACCGGAGCTGTACTGGTGGTCACTGGAGCTGTACTGGTGGTGACTGGTTCCGTACTGGTGGTGACCGGAGATGTACTGGTGGTCACTGGACCGGTACTGGTGGTGACTGGAGCTGTACTGCTGGTTACTGGTCCTGTACTGGTGGTCACTGGAGCTGTACTGGTGGTCACTGGAGCTGTACTGCTGATTACTGGTTCCGTACTGGTGGTCACCGGAGCTGTACTTGTGGTAACTGGAGCTGTACTGCTCGTCACCGGAGCTGTACTGGTTGTGACCGGAGCTGTACTGGTGGTTCCTGGTTCCGTACTGGTGGTGACTGGAGCTGTACTGGTGGTTACTGGTTCCGTACTGGTGGTGACTGGAGCTGTACTGGTGGTGACTGGTTCCGTACTGGTCGTCACTGGAGCTGTACTGGTGGTGACCAGAGCTGTACTGGTGGTCACTGGAGCTGTACTGGTGGTGACCGGAGCTGTACTGGTGGTCACTGGAGCTGTACTGGTGGTGACCGGAGCTGTACTGGTGGTCACTGGTTCCGTACTGGTAGTGACTGGAGCTGTACTGGTGGTTACTGGTTCCGTACTGGTGGTTACTGGTTCCGTACTGGTCGTCACCGGAGTTGTACTGGTGGTTACTGGTCCCGTACTGGTGGTCACTGGAGTTGTACTGGTTGTGACTGGAGTTGTAGTTACTGGTCCTGTACTGGTGGTGACCGGAGCTGTACTGGTGGTGACTGGAGCTGTACTGGTGGTTACTGGTTCCGTACTGGTGGTGACCGGAGCTGTACTGGTGGTCACTGGAGCTGTACTGGTGGTGACCAGAGCTGTACTGGTGGTTACTGGAGCTGTACTGGTAGTTACTGGTTCCGTACTGGTCGTCACCGGAGCTGTACTGGTGGTTACTGGTTCCGTACTGGTGGTGACTGGAGCTGTACTGGTCGTTACTGGAGCTGTACTGGTGGTGACTGGAGCTGTACTGGTGGTGACTGGTTCCGTACTGGTGGTAACCGGAGATGTACTGGTGGTAACTGGAGCTGTACTGGTGAAGACTGGAGCTGTACTGGTGGTGACGGGAGCTGTACTGGTGGTTACTGGTTCCGTACTGGTGGTCACTGGAGCTGTACTGGTGGTGACTGGAGCTGTACTGGTGGTTACTGGCTCCGTACTGGTGGTGACCGGAGCTGTACTGGTGGTTACTGGAGCTGTACTGGTGGTTACTGGTTCCGTACTGGTCGTCACCGGAGCTGTACTGGTGGTTACTGGTTCCGTACTGGTGGTGACTGGAGCTGTACTGGTGGTTACTGGAGCTGTACTGGTGGTGACTGGAGCTGTACTGGTGGTGACCGGAGCTGTACTGGTGAAGACTGGAGCTGTACTGGTGGTGACCGGAGCTGTACTGGTGGTTACTGGAGCTGTACTGGTGGTTACTGGTTCCGTACTGGTCGTCACCGGAGCTGTACTGGTGGTTACTGGTTCCGTACTGGTGGTAACCGGAGCTGTACTGGTGGTCACTGGAGCTGTACTGGTCGTTACTGGTTCCGTACTGGTCGTCACTGGAGCTGTACTGGTGGTTACTGGAGTTGTACTGGTGGTCACTTTAGCTGTACTGGTGGTTACTGGTCCCGTACTGGTCGTCACTGGAGCTGTACTGGTGGTTACTGGAGTTGTACTGGTGGTCACTGGAGCTGTACTGGTAGTTACTGGTTCCGTACTGGTGGTGACCGGAGCTGTACTCGTTGTTACTGGAGGTGTACTGCTGGTTACTGGTCCTGTACTGGTGGTCACTGGAGCTGTACTGGTGGTCACTTGTTCCGTATTGGTGGTGACTGGAGCTGTACTGGTGGTTACTGGTCCCGTACTGGTGGTCACTGGAGCCGTACTGGTGGTGACTGGAGCTGTACTGGTGGTCACTGGAGCTGTACTGGTGGTGACCGGAGCTGTACTGGTGGTCACTGGAGCTGTACTGGTGGTCACTGGAGCTGTACTGGTGGTGACCGGAGCTGTACTGGTGGTCACTGGTTCCGTACTGGTAGTGACTGGAGCTGTACTGGTGGTTACTGGTTCCGTACTGGTGGTGACTGGAGCTATACTGGTGGTGACCAAAGCTGTACTGGTGGTCACTGGAGCTGTACTGGTGGTTACTGGTTCCGTACTGGTTGTGACTGGAGTTGTAGTTACTGGTCCTGTACTGGTGGTGACCGGAGCTGTACTGGTGGTGACTGGAGCTGTACTGGTGGTTACTGGTTCCGTACTGGTGGTGACCAGAGCTGTACTGGTGGTCACTGGAGCTGTACTGGTGGTGACCAGAGCTGTACTGGTGGTGACTGGAGCTGTAATGGTGGTTACTGGAGCTGTACTAGTGGTGACTGGAGCTGTACTGGTGGTTACTGGTTCCGTACTGGTGGTAACCGGAGATGTACTGGTGGTAACTGGAGCTGTACTGGTGAAGACTGGAGCTGTACTGGTGGTGACGGGAGCTGTACTGGTTGTGACTGGAGCTGTACTGGTGGTGACCGGAGCTGTACTGGTGGTGACTGGAGCTGTACTGGTCGTTACTGGTTCCGTACTGGTGGTGACGGGAGCTGTACTGGTGGTTACTGGAGCTGTACTGGTGGTGACCGGAGCTGTACTGGTGGTCACTTGAGCTGTACTGGTGGTTACTGGTTCCGTACTGGTGAAGACTGGAGCTGTACTGGTGGTGACCGGAGCTGTACTGGTGGTCACTGGAGCTGTACTGGTGGTGACCGGAGCTGTACTGGTGGTCACTTGAGCTGTACTGGTGGTTACTGGTTCCGTACTGGTGGTGACCGGAGCTGTACTGGTGGTAACTGGAGCTGTACTGGTGGTTACTGGCTCCGTACTGGTGGTGACCGGAGCTGTACTGGTGGTCACTTGAGCTGTACTGGTGGTTACTGGAGCCGTACTGGTGGTGACTGGAGCTGTACTGGTGGTCACTGGAGCTGTACTGGTGGTCACTGGAGCTGTACTGGTGGTGACCGGAGCTGTACTGGTGGTCACTGGAGCTGTACTGGTGGTCACTGGAGCTGTACTGGTGGTGACCGGAGCTGTACTGGTGGTCACTGGTTCCGTACTGGTAGTGACTGGAGCTGTACTGGTGGTTACTGGTTCCGTACTGGTGGTGACTGGAGCTATACTGGTGGTGACCAAAGCTGTACTGGTGGTCACTGGAGCTGTACTGGTGGTTACTGGTTCCGTACTGGTTGTGACTGGAGTTGTAGTTACTGGTCCTGTACTGGTGGTGACCGGAGCTGTACTGGTGGTGACTGGAGCTGTACTGGTGGTTACTGGTTCCGTACTGGTGGTGACCAGAGCTGTACTGGTGGTCACTGGAGCTGTACTGGTGGTGACCAGAGCTGTACTGGTGGTTACTGGAGCTGTACTGGTGGTTAATGGTTCCGTACTGGTCGTCACCGGAGCTGTACTGGTGGTTACTGGTTCCGTACTGGTGGTGACTGGAGCTGTAATGGTGGTTACTGGAGCTGTACTAGTGGTGACTGGAGCTGTACTGGTGGTTACTGGTTCCGTACTGGTGGTAACCGGAGATGTACTGGTGGTAACTGGAGCTGTACTGGTGAAGACTGGAGCTGTACTGGTGGTGACGGGAGCTGTACTGGTTGTGACTGGAGCTGTACTGGTGGTGACCGGAGCTGTACTGGTGGTGACTGGAGCTGTACTGGTCGTTACTGGTTCCGTACTGGTGGTGACGGGAGCTGTACTGGTGGTTACTGGAGCTGTACTGGTGGTGACCGGAGCTGTACTGGTGGTCACTTGAGCTGTACTGGTGGTTACTGGTTCCGTACTGGTGAAGACTGGAGCTGTACTGGTGGTGACCGGAGCTGTACTGGTGGTCACTGGAGCTGTACTGGTGGTGACCGGAGCTGTACTGGTGGTCACTTGAGCTGTACTGGTGGTTACTGGTTCCGTACTGGTGGTGACCGGAGCTGTACTGGTGGTCACTTGAGCTGTACTGGTGGTTACTGGCTCCGTACTGGTGGTGACCGGAGCTGTACTGGTGGTCACTTGAGCTGTACTGGTGGTTACTGGTTCCGTACTGGTCGTCACCGGAGCTGTACTGGTGGTTACTGGTTCCGTACTGGTGGTGACTGGAGCTGTACTGGTGGTGACTGGAGCTGTACTGGTGGTGACCGGAGCTGTACTGGTGAAGACTGGAGCTGTACTGGTGGTGACCGGAGCTGTACTGGTGGTTACTGGAGCTGTACTGGTGGTAACCGGAGCTGTACTGGTGGTCACTGGAGCTGTACTGGTGAAGACTGGAGCTGTACTGGTGGTGACCGGAGCTGTACTGGTGGTCACTGGAGTTGTACTGGTGGTGACCGGAGCTGTACTGGTGGTGACGGGAGCTGTACTGGTCGTTACTGGTTCCGTACTGGTGGTGACGGGAGCTGTACTGGTGGTTACTGGAGCTGTACTGGTGGTGACGGGAGCTGTACTGGTCGTTACTGGTTCCGTACTGGTGGTGACGGGAGCTGTACTGGTGGTCACTGGAGCTGTACTGGTGGTCACTGTTTCCGTAATGGTAGTGATTGGAGCTGTACTGGTGGTTACTGGTCCCGTACTGGTGCTCACTGGAGTTGTACTGGTTGTGACTGGAGTTGTACTTATAGTTACTGGTCCTGTACTGGTGGTGACCAAAGCTGTACTGGTGGTGACTGGAGCTGTACTGGTGGTTACTGGTTCCGTACTGGTGGTGACCGGAGCTGTACTGGTGGTCACTGGAGCTGTAGTGGTGGTGACTGGTTCCGTACTGGTGGTGACCGGAGCTGTACTGGTGGTAACTGGAGCTGTACTGGTGGTGACCGGAGCTGTACTGGTGGTGACTGGTTCCGTACTGGTGGTAACCAGAGATGTACTGGTGGTAACTGGAGCTGTACTGGTGGTCACTGGAGCTGTACTGGTGGTGACTGGTTCCGTACTGGTGGTAACCGGAGATGTACTGGTGGTAACTGGAGCTGTACTGGTGGTCACTGGAGCTGTACTGGTGGTGACCGGAGCTGTACTGGTGAAGACTGGAGCAGTACTGGTGGTGACCAGAGCTGTACTGGTGGTCACTCGAGCTGTACTGGTGGTGACCGGAGCTGTACTGGTAGTGACTGGAGCTGTACTGGTGGTCACTGGTTCCGTACTGGTAGTGACTGGAGCTGTACTGGTGGTCACTGGTTCCGTACTGGTGGTCACTGGAGCTGTACTGGTGGTCACTGGTTCCGTACTGGTGGTGACTGGAGCTGTACTGGTGGTGACTGGAGCTGTACTGGTGGTTACTGGTTCCGTACTGGTGGTGACCGGAGCTGTACTGGTGGTCACTGGAGCTGTACTGGTGGTTACTGGTTCCGTACTGGTCGTCACCGGAGCTGTACTGGTGGTGACTGGTTCCGTACTGGTGGTGACTGGTTCTTTACTGGTGGTCACTGGATCTGTACTGGTGGTGACGGGAGCTGTACTGGTGGTGACCGGAGCTGTGCTGGTGGTCACTGGAGCTGTACTGGTGGTGACCGGAGCTGTACTGGTGGTCACTGGAGCTGTACTGGTGGTGACCGGAGCTGTACTGGTGGTCACTGGAGCTGTACGGGTCGTTACTGGTTCCGTACTGGTGGTGACGGGAGCTGTACTGGTGGTTACTGGAGCTGTACTGGTGGTGACCGGAGCTGTACTGGTGGTCACTGGAGCTGTACTGGTCGTTACTGGTCCCGTACTGGTGGTCACTGGAGCTGTACTGGTGGTTACTGGTTCCGTACTGGTGGTGACTGGAGCTGTACTGGAGGAGACCAAAGCTGTACTGGTGGTTACTGGTCCCGTACTGGTGGTCACTGGAGTTGTACTGGTGGTCTCTGGAGTTGTACTTGTAGTTACTGGTCCTGTACTGGTGGTGACCAATGCTGTACTGGTGGTGACTGGAGCTGTACTGGTGGTTACTGGTTCCGTACTGGTGGTGACCGGAGCTGTACTGGTGGTAACTGGAGCTGTACTGGTGGCTACTGGTTCCGTACTGGTGGTGACCGGAGCTGTACTGGTGGTGACCAGAGCTGTACTGGTGGTAACTGGAGCTGTACTGGTGGTAACTTGAGCTGTACTGGTGGTTACTGGAGCTGTACTGGTGGTCACTGGAGCTGTACTGGTGGTGACTGGTTCCGTACTGGTGGTAACCGGAGCTGTACTGGTGGTCACTGGAGCTGTACTGGTGAAGACTGGAGCTGTACTGGTGGTGACCGGAGCTGTACTGGTGGTCACTGGAGCTGTACTGGTGGTTACTGGTTCCGTACTGGTGGTGACGGGAGCTGTACTGGTGGTTACTGGAGCTGTACTGGTGGTGTCCGGAGCTGTACTGGTGGTCACTGGAGCTGTACTGGTGAAGACTGGAGCTGTACTGGTGGTGACCGGAGCTGTACTGGTGGTCACTGGAGCTGTACTGGTGGTTACTGGTTCCGTACTGGTGGTGACGGGAGCTGTACTGGTGGTCACTGGAGCTGTACTGGTGAAGACTGGAGCTGTACTGGTGGTGACCGGAGCTGTACTGGTGGTCACTGGAGCTGTACTGGTCGTTACTGGTCCCGTACTGGTGGTGACTGGAGCTGTACTGGTGGTCACTGGTTCCGTACTGGTAGTGACCGGAGCTGTACTGGTGGTTACTGGTTCCATACTGGTGGTGACCAAAGCTGTACTGGTGGTGACCAAAGCTGTACTGGTCGTTACTGGTCCCGTAGTGGTGGTAACTGGAGTTGTACTGGTTGTGACTGGAGCTGTACTTGTAGTTACTGGTCCTGTACTGGTGGTGACCAAAGCTGTACTGGTGGTGACTGGAGCTGTACTGGTGGTTACTGGAGCTGTACTGGTGGTGACCGGAGCTGTACTGGTGGTCACTGGAGCTGTACTGGTGGTGACCGGAGCTGTACTGGTGGTCACTGGAGCTGTACTGGTCGTTACTGGTTCCGTACTGGTGGTGACGGGAGCTGTACTGGTGGTTACTGGAGCTGTACTGGTGGTGACCGGAGCTGTACTGGTGGTTACTGGAGCTGTACTGGTGGTCACTGGTTCCGTACTGGTAGTGACTGGAGCTGTACTGGTGGTTACTGGTCCCGTACTGCTGGTCACTGGAGTTGTACTGGTTGTGACTGGAGCTGTACTGGTGGTCACTGGAGCTGTACTGGTGGTTACTGGTCCCGTACTGCTGGTCACTGGAGTTATACTGGTTGTGACTGGAGCTGTAATGGTGGTGACTGGTTCCGTACTGGTGGTGACCGGAGCTGTACTGGTTGTGACTGGAGCTGTACTGGTGGTTACTGGTTCCGTACTGGTGGTCACTGGAGCTGTACTGGTGAAGACTGGAGCTGTACTGGTGGTGACCGGAGCTGTACTGGTGGTCACTGTAGCTGTACTGGTCGTTACTGGTTCCGTACTGGTGGTGACGGGAGCTGTACTGGTGGTTACTGGAGCTGTACTGGTGGTGACCGGAGCTGTACTGGTGGTTACTGGTTCCGTACTGGTGTTGACCGGAGCTGTACTGGTGGTTACTGGTTCCGTACTGGTCGTCACCGGAGTTGTACTGGTGGTTACTGGTTCCGTACTGGTGGTCACTGGAGCTGTACTGGTGGTGACTGGAGCTGTACTGGTGGTGACTGGTTCTGTACTGGTGGTAACCGGAGCTGTACTGGTGGTCACTGGAGCTGTAGTGGTGGTGACTGGTTCCGTACTGGTGGTGACCGGAGCTGTATTGGTGGTCACTGGAGCCGTACTGGTGGTCACTGGTTCCGTACTGGTAGTGACTGGAGCTGTACTGGTGGTTACTGGTTCCGTACTGGTGGTGACGGGAGCTGTACTGGTGGTTACTGGAGCTGTACTGGTGGTGACCGGAGCTGTACTGGTGGTCACTGGAGCCGTACTGGTGGTCACTGGTTCCGTACTGGTAGTGACTGGAGCTGTACTGGTGGTTACTGGTTCCGTACTGGTGGTGACCACAGCTGTACTGGTGGTGACCAAAGCTGTACTGGTGGTTACTGGTCCCGTACTGGTGGTCACTGGAGTTGTACTGGTTGTGACTGGAGCTGTACTGGTGGTCACTGGAGCTGTAGTGGTGGTGACTGGTTCCGTACTGGTGGTAACCGGAGATGTACTGGTGGTAACTGGAGTTGTACTGGTGGTCACTGCAGCTGTACTGGTGGTGACCGGAGCTGTACTGGTGGTGACCAGAGCTGTACTGGTGGTTACAGGAGCTGTACTGGTGGTGACGGGAGGTGTACTGGTGGTTACTGGAGCTGTACTGGTGGTGACCGGAGCTGTACTGGTGGTGACCGGAGCTGTACTGGTGGTTACTGGTTCCGTACTGGTGGTGACGGGAGCTGTACTGGTGGTTACTGGAGCTGTACTGGTCGTGACCGGAGCTGTACTGGTGGTTACTGGTTCCGTACTGGTGGTGACCGGAGCTGTGCTGGTGGTTACTGGAGCTGTACTGGTGGTTACTGGTTCCGTACTGGTGGTGACCAAAGCTGTACTGGTGGTGACCAAAGCTGTACTGGTGGTTACTGGTCCCGTACTGGTGGTAACTGGAGTTGTACTGGT